GTGGTCGGAGCCGAGGGTGAGCAAGCTGCGGCGTGTGTCAGTGGCGTTGGTCGAGGGGGCGCGAAGTTTGCCCGCGGAAGTGACGGCGCCACGGCAGGCGTCGCTCGGGTCGAGACGTCGGGCTCGCGGCCAGCGGCGCCGGCGAGCACGAGCCTAGCCACCACGGCAGCGGCGGCGGCGGCCTACCTCCAGCTGGCAGGAGCGCCAGATCTCGGCACCCTGCTCAACAACCCCAACTCCAGTGCCAGCAACGCCTCCGGCGCCAGCAGCAACGAGATGGTCCTGTCGATGCTCGACAACCTCGTAGCGGCGCACGAGCCCATCTACGCCGACTACCCCTCGTCCTATCAGGACATGACGCAGCTGCACCACCATCACCAGCAGCAACAACAGCATCAGCACCAGCACCAGCAGCAGCAGCAGCAGCAAAGGCGGCACATGCAACAGATGCAGCAACAGCAGCAGCAGCATTGCAGGAGCAACGGGCCGGTGCTGCTTTTGGCATCGTCACTCGACGCCACCACTCACACGCCAGGTTCGCCAATTTTCAAGACTGCCGACGTTCACACGCGTGTGCACATGCAGCTGTCTCGCTCGCGCTTCCGTTTCCGCAGCAACAACGGCTCCCACCACTCCGCCGCACTCGTGCTGCTGCTGCTGCTGCTACCAAGTCTCTCTTCTACCTCTTCTTTTTTCTCTCTTCTTACGTGCGACGGTGGCGGTAGCGGCGGTTTTGGGAAATTGGAGATGATAACTGAATGAGCGAGCGGTTTTCCTTGTGGGTTTTATGAATGAACGCCGAGAGTCGCTGTGGTTTCGCGCTGCCCAGTCCCACGGCGAAAAAAGGGAGGATGTCGAAAAGTCGTAGTGCGTTCTTTCATTCTCTTCTTCTCGCTCCTTCGTCTCTCTCTCTCTCTCTCTCTCTCTCTCTCTCTCTCTCTCTCTCTCTCTCTCTCTCTCTCTTTAAAAATAGAGCTCGCCGGAGCTTTTATCTCTGTCTGCCGAGTCTTCGATGCTCGGCAAAGTTAAGCCAGTCTGGCGGCTAAACAATGACACGACGAGCCTTAAGAAAAGTTTATTCGCGTTGCGCCGATTCACCGATAAGCCGGCGTAGCAGCGCGCAAAGGTGTTTGACGATAGCACACACAGGCAGCCGGAGAACGTCGCTCGTTTTTTTTTTATTTTCTTGTCAGCCAACGGGTTGAAAACAAAAAGTTGGCTTATCTTTGCGCGCAACAACGAGCGAAACACTGTGGTTTTTTCCCCGCTGGTTAAAAATTTCGCACGCGGCTAATTAATTTCTATGGTGCGCAGCAGATATAGTTTTATCGGGACAGAAAAAAAAAACACGAGCACGCGGAACAAAAAAAGTGAGAGAGAGAGAGAGAGAGACTGAAGCACGAACAAGAGCAAGACAGAGAGAGAGAGAAACGAAAGCAAAAAGCCCAGCGAAAGTAACGAGCCACGAGATATATATCCCCAGACGGAAGTGGCTAATTACAAAAGCGATATTTTGCGGGATGCAAGCTAAAATTAATCAAAATCTCGGCTCTCGCGAGCGAGCGTTGGCAGCTATTGATCGCGGGGCGCGCAGTTTCTAATGCACCGATGCCCCGGGTGTGTGTGTGTGTGCACAGTGAAAACTCGCGCGCGAGACAAACGGATACGTAGCGCGGCGATCAGAGTGATTTTCTTCATTAGTCCGCGCTCCGCGTAAACACACGGCCGTGCGCGGAGGACGGCCAAGCTGCCGCGCGGACTTTCCATAGAGTGACGAAACTGCTCGTTACACGCGCTCGGCGAACGCGATTGGCTCGCAGCGCCGCGCGTTTTTTTTCTCGCCGTTCGCCAATCAGATGTGCAACGACACCGCTCCACGCTCCCATCCAGGTTAATGAGATATCGATGCAGCGCTGGCGCAGATATAAAAACAATTAGCCGACAGCAACCAGCGGAAATTGTATTAATCAAGGCGCTCGGCTGCAGCGCCCGGCTCGCTCGCGCGAGATCAATGAGAGCCGGGTACATTTTTAATAAACATGAATTAATCAGGCCCCCGAGTCTCTTTTCATTCATCTGCCCGGCGCGCCGCAGTCTGTTCTCTCTCTCTCTCTCTCTCTCTCTCTCTCGAATATAGACGCGCGCACGTTTGTCCAATAATGGCTTCATTCGAGTATTTAAACTGCACTCCGCTCCTACAGCGCGACATGTTTGCCTTCTACGGCGTAAGGCAGCTGCCGCGCGAGAGTGCGACGTCGCTTCACTCTCTCTCTCTCTCTCTCTCTCTCTCTCTCTCTCTCTCTCTCTCTCTCTCTCTCTCTCTCTCTCTCTCTCTCTCTCTCTCTCTCTCTCTCTTTTAAGGGAGACGGAGAGCGGAGGACGAGTGCTAGCGAGAGGCAATGATAAAGAGGCGCGCGAGCGGCGCGTGCCGAGCGGCCCTTCCGACCGGCCGCCGCGAAGCGAGAGAGAGAGACAGACACCTGTTCCTTTCCTCTCTTTTTCTTCCTCGCGCGCGACATGCAGCCACTGCATCGTGCCAGCTACCTCCTCGTACATGCTCTCGGTCTATCTACGTTCCTGGCAAGATTCCGCTTCGATTTCATACGCAAGTACACGCGGCAATGCTTCATTGTTGCTCGTTGAATTTCGCGTTAAAATTAATCGACCAAATTCTGCTCGCAAATATGCATCGATTCATAAGAAATTCTTCAACAGTTGACTTCCACGATCTGCGATTTCTTTCTTTTCTTTTTTTATTATCGACGGTATCTTGTGTTATTTCTCCGGTGCTCACGGGATTTATTCATTCTGCTTTCAGACCGCTATGAATTTTTATCGTAGCGTCGTGTTATTAGATATCATTTATAATGGAAAATTCGATAATCCCAGCAATACCCTCGCCCGCGGTACATCCGGCGTTCACAATGCAAGCGACAATCGTATGCAGAAATCAATGTTGTCACACGAAAATAGACTAGCTGTTCTTGGAATTTTTTAAAGCTGCCCTGCTTCGGCTCGCTGCCTATTCGGGCGAGGGAGAAAACTCATCTGCGGCGCTGCACCAATTACGAGCGTGCAGAGTGTTTTTTAAATGGGGGAGTCGTAGTAAAGATCCCTCGTTGCTCTCCTCGATGATCCTCGAGAGGCAGGGCAGCTGTGACCACATTTTCCTCTTAAAACTACTTACGATTAAGGCTGCCTCGTTTTACATTCGACACGTCTTGGATTTATACACCGCGCCAGACGAGCGGAAGCAGCGCGCGCGTGCGCCTAATATCACTTCTCCTTCGTTTTTTGTTTCATACGTAGTTCCGAGGGCGGGATGCGAACAAAAAATCTTGAAGTGTAACGGGAAATCGAAAGATCGAAGAAGAAGAAGAAGAAGAAGAAGAAGAAGCAGCAGCGGCAATGCATGGAAGTTGTAACGATGAAAAGAGAGAAAAAGGAGGAAGGCGCGCGCGAGAGTATCGGCGAGTGACCTGCTGTTGCGGGACAGGTGTATGGAAATGTGCGCCAGACATAAAGTCTCGCCAACGTCGACCGATCGGCCCGCCGCACAGCTGGTCGCTATAGCTTATTATGCGCCATACCTTCTTTCTCCACAAAATACACATATATATGTACACACACACACACACACACACACACACACACACATACTGTTAATTAATAAGAGTGTCAGCCCCAAGGGAATGACATTTGTTTCAAGACAGCCCGATTTCCAGGAATTTCGGCCGTTTGTATAGATCCGAATCGATGCACATAATTTTAAATAATGATATAGACATTAATCGGATTGGTACGAATCCTTTTTCACAATATAGAAAAGCAGAATTTTTATTTGGTCTGTATTTACTGAAAACGACAAGGAGCCACGGCTGTTGGCGAGGCAAGCAAACAAGTTTGTCGAAACAAAGCAAACGAAAGAAAATCTGGTAATTTATTAAAGAATAAACTGACTGCATAGAGCTCGCTCGCTCTCTTGGCGGAAGTAGAAAAAATATTGACTCAATGAGCCCGGTGCATCACGGAAACTCGAGCAATGCAGAAAAGTTGGTTGGATCAGCTGGTCGTCGTCGTCGTCGCGGCTCTCAATGTGTCCCAGGTGCATGCCATGTGGACTCCGCATGCAGGCGCTCGCGACGACGATCTTCCTTTGGAGTGCTCGCCTGGTCAGGGGCCCGGCGAGTATGTGCGCGTCTACATCGGCACTCGGCGCCGATATCGCCGCTTATCAAAGTGTCGCTCGGACCATCGAGCGCGGAGGAGTGGGCGAGAGCGAGCAGCGGCGGAGGAGGTGGCGGCGGCCGTCGGTCGCTCGGAGGCCCCCGCTGCGCGATAGGCGGAGTTAGTTGTTCGCCAATCGAGGATTAGCGCCGCCTCCCCTTTTTGCAAGCCGGGGAAGGAGCCAGTCGAGGGAGAGGTCGGAGTGCACTCTGCGCACTAGCGACGCCAACGCAATACCGGCTCGTGTCCCACTCTCTCTCTCTCTCTCTCTCTCTCTCTCTCTCTCTCTCTCTCTCTCTCTCTCTCTCTCTCTCTCTCTCTCTCTCTCTCTCGCTCGCTCGCTCGCTCGCTCGGGCGCGGGCCGATTGCGCCGAGATGCCGATGGAGAACGCCGCGCACGCTCGATATTTAGGCCTCCATCGAAACGCTCTCGCGCGCTTTATCTCCCGCTCGTAGCAACGCGCTGTCGCGCGGAGCTAATTAACGTCGCTGACTAACGAGCCCCTATCGGCCAGATACGACCCTTGAAAATGGAGTAAAGCTATCGGCGCTACGCGATAATAGCAGTCGACGGAATAGTCGGGAATTCGCGGCGGTGTAGAATATAGTCCACGGACTCGGCCGAGAAACTTCCAAATAAACTTCCAAAATAACGGAAGCAGCCAGCAACACACGCGAGACTAAACAGACTCGCCCCCGCATCTGCGTCTGCATCCCCCAGGGACAGGGCGGCGTACTAAACGGCTACATGCTTGTCTTGTTCTTTCTCGCAGGCGGCTATCACCACCTACGCAGTCCCGCGGAGCAGCAGCAACAGGACAGCCGGCGGAGGGAGAGCTCGCCCCCCGCGCTGACGAGCGGCAATGGCACCGCGACGCAGCCCCCAAACAATAATCCCAGCGTAGCCAACAACAATAACAGCAACAACAACAACAATAACAGCAGTGCTCACAACAACAACAACACGACGAGCAATGCTTACATTCACCTTAGGAACCTCAATAGCCTCAAGTCCGAGAGTGAGTTGGAAATCAGACGTAGACTCGATCTAATTTGAGCTGCATCTCCAATGGCTTTCCGCTTACTATTTCATCGGTCGATTTGCATGCACAGCAAAGTTTGCCGCCGAGCGACCAGCGAGCAGTCGGTCGTCTATAAATGCACACCGCTTTTTCCGCGTGATCCAATTTACACATTGAGTAGCCGTTGCATGATTCGCGGAGGGTAGGAAAGCCTTTCGTTCCCGGAGTGCGAGAAGCGACGCGCGACTGATGTGCGCGCGGCACGCTCGTGTTTCAGCGAACTACGCGAATCACCAAACGTCGGAGCAGGCAGGAGCGCACCTGGGCTCGAGCAATGGCAGTGAGCTGGGCTCGGGGAGCGTCGGCGAGGATCTCAGGTCGTCGCAAGCTCCCGAGAGTTACCTCACGCCGGCACACTACTCGGGCTACGAAGAGCCGCCGAGCTCCGACTATCACGGCCTTGGTTCAGCCGCGTCGGCCACGCAAGAGCACCATCCCTCTGGACATGCCTACGGCCTGGACGCCTCGCCCGAGTTTTACGGCCAGGCGGCGGGCATGCAGCTCGAACCCAAATACCAGCCGCCGCCTTTCAAGAACTACCCTCGAAGTAAGCCGATTCTTATCTGTTATATATCTTATTATAGAGCTTATAGGCTTTCCACGGCGCCGCGTGCCGAGGGACGTCAAGGATTGTCGATGCATTTCTTATTTTCCAGATAGCGATGGATATCTTGGCTATTTTATTATGCTTGTTTTAGCGTCGCCGAGAAAGTTATACAAGTTTTTTTACTGATTTACGTGACTGGATTTTTCCGTCCTCGGCGGAGCGTGCATGGGCTATTTCTGAAACTAACAAAGTGGAAGATAATAGACGCGCGCGCGCGACTAATCGATTGCAAAAATCTGGAAGTCACACGGCGCGCGCTTGTGTTTCTCAAATCAAGATACGCGCGCGTTACAAGCTGCCATGAATAGGCTTTTGTTACGAATACAAATCATTGTTCTTTTTTTTATTTTTTTTGTTTTATTCTGTTTTTTTTTTTTTTTTTTTTTCGAGAACGACGCGTTTTCGTCGAGTTTGAAAATGCAAATGAATTAGAAGCAAGGCAGAGACCGATTGTTCGTGCACCAACGCGCGTCGTCGTACGAACGGGGAAGCTAATCTGAATACTTGATGTGTCAACAGGTCGCTATCACGAAAGTTACAGCGAGGGCGGCTACGGCCAGTACGACGCGACACCCTTCCAGACGGTTCCGGCCAGCGCAGGTCCTGGCGGCGGAGGAGCTGGAGGTGCGCCAGTGAACGAACAATGGGGAGTCAATCCGTCTGTTGGCGATCATCTGAATGCTCATCACCCGGCCTTCCTCGCGGGCCTTGGCCTCCGCGACTCCACCAACTCGTCGCATCATCCGTCGTCGATGGGCAATCAGAATCCGGACCACCAGAAGCCACTTCTGCCCAGCGCCATGCTCGCTGGCTATGCAGGTTTGTGCCGCTCGAGTGTTAGGAAATAGCCCAGCAACGCGCTATTGTAATCGAGTCGAGGGTCAACGTTCGCCGAAGCAACGTTTCGGTCGGTGGTTATCTATATCTTTTGCTATGGAGCTGACACGCATGACGCAATGTTGGGCAAGCGAATATTGAGCGATCATCAGGTCGCATTGCTCAACGCGTATATTATAGATCTTAAGAAACTGATTAATCGAATTATAGAAACATTGTTAAACGAGAGATAAGTGTGCCAAAATTTGTGAAGCAAAGTATTTCGTCATGAAGAAGCCAGTCACAGCTAACTCGTTAGATGTTTCGCTTCGAAAAATAATACTTGATGAGAGTTGTCTGTCCGATTTTTTACTGACTTGCGTCATTCACGAAATCGATATTTAATCGTCGGTTTCTTTTCTCCCGCTCGCTTTCTGAAAAGGAAAAAAATCAGCGGGCAATTCTAACGATCCACGTTTTTTTCTTGTTTGCAGGAGGCGGGCCCTGTTTTACGGGTTCTGGGCCCATTCAGCTCTGGCAATTCCTCTTGGAGCTGCTCACAGACAAGAGTTGCCAAGGTTTCATCTCGTGGACCGGTGACGGCTGGGAGTTCAAACTCACCGACCCCGACGAGGTGGCACGTCGCTGGGGCATCCGTAAGAACAAGCCCAAAATGAACTATGAAAAATTGAGTCGTGGTCTGCGTTACTACTATGACAAAAATATTATTCACAAAACGGCTGGCAAACGCTACGTTTACCGCTTCGTCTGCGATCTCCAGAATCTTCTAGGGTTAGTATCCGCTTACTCGTTATGCGGAATTCATTGACTCGCTCCAAGTTAGCTTGACGTTGTGGGTTCGACGGCTAACGGCTGACCTTGTTCTTTACAGTCAAACTCCCGAAGAACTGCATGCAGCGGTGGATTTGAAGCCCGAGAAGAAGGAGGAAGACTGAGTCCTCCGATACGCCTAGAATGTTGCAGCAGTAGTGCCGAAGATGAGTGTCGATAGAGACGATTATTGACCGCCACACGGACGGCAATCAATTCTTCGGTGTACGGAGTCTAAAAAGTGACAAAAAATAAAAAGAGAACGAGAGACAATTGTTAAATGTACTAGGGCTGCATTATACGAAGAAGAAGGAGAGTATTAATTGTAGATTTGCGTGCGCGAAAGAGTGCAAGGGACGCCCAGGACGCGTGAGAGAGCAAAGTATACGTTGTTCAACAAGTGCGACCGTACTAGCGAGCGAGTAAGCGAGACACACAGAGCGAAAGTGACATAGACATTTGCGTGTGCGTGCGAGTGTGCGGGGCGACGCGAATAGTTGTCTTGAGAGATTTTTTTTCCTAGATTTAAGAATGTTTCATAAAAAACGTAAATGAGTTAATTAAATCATTGAATAAATAAACAAGCAATGAAGAGTCAACGGCGAATGACGAATGTACATTCCGTGACTGCTTCCTCTTCTTCTTCTTCAAACTTGTTCTATATGACAAAAAAAATATAAGTCTCCCTAAGAGAGAATAAAAATGATGCAATGAAATTGAATCGGTCGTATGTACCAAAGACAGGGTCCGCATACCATTGGTGCCTCAAAGTAATAAGCTAAAATGTGAATTTTTTTCTATTTTTTATTATTATTATTTTTCGTTCGATCGACTATCGATTTGCCACGCAAGATTTTAGAAAATATTTATAGGAGTAACTCGAAGACAGTTTATACATACATACATGCATATATATATATATATATATTATACATTATATATATTTTTAACGTTACGTGATTTTTAAGCACTGTGGCATCGATTCATCATCAATGATGCATCTAAATTATTTATGTCGCATCATTTTATTACGTGTGTTATTATATCGTTGATAGATGACACAATATGTGATTGTTATGACTCTAATTTTACTACAATAAAATATTATACCTATGTCCAACGTCGTTAGTTATTGTCGAACCTCTTTCGTGGTTTCAACTTTTTCATTGTAAATAATGTTTTTGGATCGGAATTTTATCATTTCTACAGACTTTCAATTTATTTCACTTTCGAGAATCTTTATTTGATCAAACAGAACAAGTTTTCTTTACTTCGATATGCTAATTCAGTGTTATAATTCTAAAATTTCAAAAAAAAAATTATTGAAGCATCCTCTCTCGGAATTCAATAATTTTGTTGATTATGATAATATTTTAGTCAAATAATATTGATGTTCTTGGTAAAAAGTCACAATCAAAATCCGATTTTCCCATAGTTAAATGTTTAAATTTGTCAAAATTTTCATAAAGTTATTGGTTAATTAAAATTCTAAAGTTATTGGTATATAGTTAATTTTCTTCTTTTTCATCGCATATTTTATTACATTTAAGCTCCAAGGGCTCAGCGAGTTGGACAAAAAATGAATAGCAACCAAATCTTAATATTCAAAAAATAATTTTAATAATTCTTAAAATCGTAATATCGCTCACGACCAGTTCTTTTTTCATTGTATAATTTGTGTCATTGAGCCAAAATTGGTTGAGTATTAGTTGAATATTACAATAAGAAAGAGAATATCAATGTTTATAAATTTTGTACAAGGCCTAAAACGCTATCTAAGGCTGGCATTACTATAAAGAATATAAAAGAATAGCTATTGATTGAATAATTAAAAATTGGACAGATCAAAATAAATGGTGAAATCTATTAAATCGATTGGACCCGAAGATGATACCTGCCTCTCCAAGTTTGTTTAACCGTCATTAACCATCACTAAAAAATAAAACAATTAATCTTCGAACACAACACCATGTGTCGCATTTCACGTGCAATGGGATAATGATGTGCATAAGAAAAATATAAAAAATTAGAAAAATTAACTTTTTCAAACGTGTCATGAAGTTAAATATATGAAATATTGTTTTATTCTGTATATTGTAAGGAAATAACATTTCCAAAAAATAGGATCATGGTGCTACAGGATTTCTTGTTGTTACCAGCAGTAGAAAAAGTTCCACGTTACCGATTTTCGCTATAGTAATGCGTGTCGGTAAATGATCGTTGAACGATGAAGTGCTCTCCTTTGCATTCAATCATACTAGTATGATTTTCTTTGTGTTGCAATATTTAAAAAAGTGGACCAAGCGTAGTTTAATCATGAGCAACGATTGTCAAAAAATTGAAGATTGTTTGTAATTTATAATCCTTAACAGATGCAAACAGCCATACTTGGGAATCCAGCGGGCTGCCTGATCACAGGGGCCCAGCACTACTTAGCATGATGCGGCGCCCAACCCTAAACCTTTACCTTGCCAAACTTGCACGGTTGACTTATCGCATTTAAACGAAGGAGCAGAAGAAGGACGGAAAATGCTGTGCGTCCGTAAGTGAGAATAAAAACTTACCTTGTAAGCAGTGTCCAAACCGGTAATAAACAAGCAGCCACCGTGATTACGCTGTTTACGATCGGACACCGCAGCGGCGGCAGCAGCGCGGCGCTCGGCCTTAATTGCGCCGCTCATAAAACAAGAATTAAGAAATTGCGCGCGTTGTCTTTTTGTTGCGCAATTACGTTAGTCAGTGCCCACGCGAAATGACGAGGCGGAAAAAAAGAGGCAGCTTTATACTTTGCGCGAGCAAAAATACAGCGTGGGCGAAAAAAAGCAGAGCAGGGAGAGAGCGAGAGAGATTGGAAAAGTGGATGTACGCTATCTGTGTTTGCGAGAGGAGTTCTGGCGAGAGAGTTCTAGTCAAAGCGCGGCGATCTGGGTGGTCCAGAGCAAGAGAGAGAGAGAGAGAGCCCTGCGGGCTCCAATGTCCTGCCGGCCCGTCTTGCACACCTACGTGTACCTACCACGGCTCACCGTCTGTATGAGGGCACCAATACGCAAAGCCGCGCACACCTACGGTCACGGACACGGAGTCTCTCGTTTAGACCAACCTACACAGTGCCAAGCTTCGCCATCGTGTGTGGCCGCTCTCGCTCTCTCTCTCTCTCTCTCTCTCTCTCTCTCTCTTCTCTCTCGCTTGCTCGCCCCGTTACGATCGTTTCTCTTTCTTTCGGACCAAACTGTCCCGCAGCTCCTCTTCTTCTTCTTCTTCTTCTTCTTCTTCTTCTTCTTCTACTCTGCCATCTTCTCCGCTGCTTCTATACAGCACCACGAGAGATAGATAGAGAGAGAGAGAGAGAGAGAGAGAGAGAGAGAGAGAGAAGCTTGCAGCTCTCCTTTTCTCCGTGGCTCCGAAAATATTCCGTGTTTTCATACAGCGATTTCGCGCACAACTCTTTTCAACTTGGTATCCCTCCCACAACAAGCTCTGTCCAGGCTGTTACCCTCGTCGCACAGCGTGGCTAATGTCTCATTCGAATACAAAGGTAAATAAATAGAGGCGCTCGCGGGCGCTTAAACCAACAAACAACTTTCCCTTTCCAGCGGGCGCGCGAGGTTAAGGTTTTTTCCTCGGGGAGGAGAAGCGCGCGGAGGAACGTTAATGACTGTATTCTAAAAGCTTCGATTTGCCTCTCGGCCGACGCCCGACGATTGGGCCTCTGGCCGTTAGTCTCTCTCCGATCGTTGCCGATAATGCTCGCGCCGCACGCACACGCGATCGCCTAACAGTGCCGAGGCTTTTCCAAGGCCTCCCACGTGAACCAGACGGAGATCGTAAAAATAAAAGGCGGCCGTCGCGCCGTCCGCCCAAAAAACCACTCTCTACTCTGCTTTCACGCGGCAGCCGGTCGGACCTCCCAAGACTTTTCCAGCGGCGAATCGCGAATGTTTTCCAAGGGCCCCTTGGCGATTCGCGATCCCGCTGTCGGCCCCCCCTCGCGTCATCTGCGCAGCGCTCGCGGGCCGACTGCCGGGGCGGCGAAGGCGTCTTGCGAACGGAACTCCGGAAACTCATCTGTCGGACGGTTCGTAATAAGGCCTGCACTTCTGCGCTCGTCGTGACTTCGATGTTTAATGAGGGACTCTTGGGAGTTCCGTATTATAAGTGCTCGGCTCTCTCTCTCTCTCTCTCTCCACGGGCTGCAATCGCCGGCTAATCAATACCTCTTGGCTTTCCTAATTACACAATCATCTCCCTGTGCGGCGGCGGTGGCGGCGGCGGCGACGGCGCGAAGTCACATTTCGGCATACGATGGGGGGCAAAGAGCGTGCAGCCGAAGGCCGTCTCCTTCTCTCGCGGATAGACTGCCACCGGCGCGACGTCGTGTGTGGCCGCGCTCACTCGCGAACCCAGAGCAAAAGAGAGAGAGAGAGAGAGAGAGAGAGAGAGAGAGCCCGAACAGCTGCTCTCCGCGCGCTCTCGCTCTCCGCGAATCGCGGAAGAGATCGGCAGCCCGGCGTTTACCCCCTTCTGCTCGTTTCTCTAGCCTTTTTCCTATTTTTATGCTGTTTCGCCTGGTCGATCTCCGCCGACCGTCGGCTTTCCATTAATTATCGGGCCTCGCGCGCACTCGCCCGGATACAAATCATTCGTTACACTTTTCTGCCGAGCGCTCGCGCGTTTTCATCTCCGCGCTCGGTCCGTGGCCACTCGATAAAGTCGAGCGCCGATATGGTCCTTTTGCGTTATTAAAGACTGGTTTCCGCGCTCGCCGCCGCTCGCCGAAGCACGCGGACGCTTGGACAGGCCGACCGCGCGAGCGCCTCGCGGCTCGTTCCTCCGGCTGCAATACTCGAGCCGTGATAACTTAATGATCGTGCCGATGTAAGATTAATGAATCGACAGTTGGATGAAATTTGTTAAATGCGGCTTCGCCGAAAATCCGCGCCTTTACCCCCGCGTCAGGCGCCTCATTGCCGAGCCGCCTCGTTCATTATCCTCCTCTTTCTCTCTCGCGCGCGTGGATTTACATTTTTCCACTCGCTTCCGCGAAATTATACGACCAATGTCGTAAAAACATTTGATGAGTTTCTCGATTAGAGAAAATTACGCCAAAACACCAGACGCTCAGTTTTTTTGCTTTTCATGGTACAAAATCTTTACTGATGTTATTCACAATATATCTATATATACATACATATGTATATGTATATGTATATATATATAAACCCTTTGTTCGATATTATAATATTATATATATATATATATAGTTTCTCATCCCGTGCAACTTATATAATTCTTATGTACAAAGGAAACGTATCATTATCGGACATATATACAAAGTGCATCATCGCTGGTAAACGAAAGAAGATTCGGAATTTGGCCATCGGCTGACTATGGCTCGTGAGTTTTCGAAAGCCTTTTTGCGGAGCAACCTAATCCCAAAGCCAACGTATACATACATAAATTAAATTATTCACAAGCAAAGCGTAATAATAAAAGCACTTAAATAGGCGATAAACTTTGAAAAACATCAATTCGAATGTCGAGTCAGGGCTTCGGGACTAGAGAGTCGCTGCTTTGAGGCAACGGGAATTCACGATCCAAAGTGCGTTTTACGTACGGAGTAATTGGTAAGGCGATGTATAGGAACACAATTGTCATGACTCAACGAATTGATAAATACACCGTGTGATCAATCTCATTTCGTTTACGTCTTGGTTCCTTTACAGAAATCAGTGAGTTACTCGCAAAATATACATATTAATATAGTGGAACGTCTACGTTGTTTGCTCGCTTTTTCTTCTTTTCTTTTTGTCGTGTCAAGTTATGCTGCCGCGTTGTTCATTCGACGCAGAAAACGTTGACTGTGCTCGAGATTTCCTCGCAGTTCTCTCACGAAAGTACACAACAATATATTCAACGGGTACTCGAGACTTGCATGATCCAATACGCGCGAACAAAATAATCTCGTCATTAACTAGTCAATTAAACTAAAATAAAATAACAAAAACAAATAAAGATAAGAAAATGTTGGTGCGCTGTTTGACGCCGTACGTTTTGAATAGATTCGAGCACGAGGTCGACGAAAACCTTACGAGATATACAGAAAGAGAGCGCGAAGAACATGTAATCGAAAAGTCGACGGACGACTCAGGACGAAAGAGAGAATGAAGAAAAAGAGTGGAGCGAACAGGGCGGAAAGCTCTTTTCTTCTCTCTCGGTCGGAGTACGATTTGTATGAGAATACGAAAGAATGGTTCTCTATGCGCGATATAAATTACTATATGTAAATAGCTACAAGGCGGCTCGAGTCGAACGATATCTTTAGCGCGATCTGCATTACAAAAACGAAAGTGGGCCTGCGCTCTGGATTCCGTGGCGTAGTGGAAGGCAGGCGGCAGGCGGCAGGCGGCAGGCGGCAGGCAGGCAGGCACCGTTCACTCGTGGGCGCCGGATGCGTTTGTCACTCGCTTACAGATATCGAGCGAGTTATCTCCGTCTCTTTCCTCGTCTCTCTCTCTCTCTCTCTCTCTCGTCTCCGCAGTAGATATCAACCAGGGAGTCCTCTTTGGTCGTTCACTCGCGAAATACTGTTTCCGGGCGTTGTCGAGCTCCTTTCTCTCTTGCGCGTTCTCGCCTCTGCGTCGCGACGACGCCCTCTGAAAATAGCGGAGATGCTGCTTTTACATGCGCTCTGCACTTGGCATCGCGATGCGCGCCGACGCGCGCTCCCCGAGTGTTTCCCGGAAAGCCCACGCGATCGCGCAGCTCCTTCGATTCGAGGAAATTTTCGAGAAGCCGGCTTCGCCCCCCAGCGAGCCCAGCGAGCCCAGCGAGCCCGTCGAGCCCGAGATTAGTCATTCCGCGAGGTGAATCGACGACTGGAAAAACGGACTGCCGCTGGTGCAACACGTGAAGCGCAGCTTTCCGCCGAACGATAAAAGAAAAAAACGCGTCGAGGCCGCCTCTCGCTCTCTCTGCGTGGCCGTGCGCCCGCAGGCCAGTTTCTTCCTAATATGTCCCTTCCGGTGGCCAGGCTAAACTGCCTCGCGTGTCGTGGACCCGGCCTAATCCCGATAATCCGCTCGCGAGAGCAGCCCGGGGAGGGGCGGAGAGCGCGGGCGCGCATACCTTATCCGGCCGCGGAGCGCAGCAGCAGCACCAGGCCCAGCAGCAGTATCGTCCAGGAAGCGCTCTGGTTGGACGCGCTGGCCACTCGGTTGGGGATCTTGTTGGTGCTCGGGTCGCTGGACTCGTAGGCGGAGGTGGCGTTGTCGGCCTCGGGCCCGAGCTGCTGCTCCTGGTAGTTGTGATGCTGGGACGGCTTATTGAAGCACAGCACGTCCATGTTGCGGTGGATGGCGATGCAGTCGTAGTCCTCGGCGCCGTCGCAGAAGCACGTGTTCAGCTTGGCCGCCTTCTCCTGGCGTCGCAGAATGTTGATCGAGTTGCGGCAGCTGTCGGAACGGACACACGAGACACGTGAGCCTTGATTCGCCGATTCTCGCTGCTTAATGCAAATCCGCGAGGCGTCGGCGGCGGCCGGTCTGGCTTCTTCCCACGCCGCGACGGGGTGAGAAAATCGTCGTCGTCGCTCGCGAGGGCCGACTTACCGCTTGGTGCACTTCTTGCCGTGGAACATTCGCTTGCAGTTCTCGTTGTAGTACTGCAGCGCCGTCGAGCACAGGGCGTCGGCGTTGCAGATCCAACTGGCCACTCGGCAGGACACCCTCGGCCGCTTCATTGTCGTCGTCACGCTTGCGCGGCAGATCTCCACTCGCTGCTTCGACAGCTTGCACAGCACGTCGTCCGGCTGGCAGTAGCACTGCGGAAATACACGCGCCTTTAGCGATGCACGCGTGCAGGCGACGCGGATCGCGAAGTCGGAGCCTCGGAGAGCAGGGGCTGCGTCGGGCAATCAAATCGCCAAATCGCCAAATCGCCGATATCCCATTGAATCCATTTGCCCGACGCTCAAGACCTAACTGCATCCGCGGGCCTCGTCAAACTCGCAGCCTATTGTTCTGCGAGCCGACTCTCTAATTTAATCTTTCGCATTGCGCTTGTGCCGACGAGCCTCGAGGGCCGTCCGCGAGTCGATCGCGCTGCGGCGCAATTAAACGCAACAAATTGGCCGCAGCGCGCGAGTCCGTTATTGCCGATCGGTCGCACCGAGTACTGTTAGCGCTATTGTTGCTTCGAGGACTACGGTAAGCCGGTTTGAGCTCTGCGCGAGCACGCGTCGAAAGAGCGCTCGAAGCACCCCGAGCCCCCCCTTCGCGTCCGCGGAACTCGGGCAATCCGGGGCTTTATCGCCGTTTTACGAGATCCATTAGTGCTGCCTAAGACTCGAGGGCAGAAAAAAACCAGCTGTCAACGCGCGGCATTGCTCGCGAGTGAGGCTCCCGGATGTCCTCGAGACGCGAAGGTCCGTCCTAAGTCCATTAAGAGGCTGCCGCAGAGATGGCAATGAAGCGGCCCGCGCGGCGGTGCCTCGATAAAAGTTCCGTCGAATCGCGCGTGAGTCGTAAAGCGCCACGGCAGAGGGTCGAGGGGATCCGGGATCGGGTGCGCGGACACTCACCGTCATGAGCTCCTTGCCTTCGTCGGTGCTGGCGAGACCGATGAGGGCGTGCTGGCAGTCCTCGGGGCACTGGTCGACGTCCCCGTGCAGCACGGCGGCGCAGCGAGTGAGGTAGTGCTGCAGCGCTCGGCCGCAGCCAGTCCGGTAGGCGCACCGCAGCCTGGCGTCGTCGCACCTCATCGTGCCGTTGCCGTGCTGCTGCTGCTCCTCGTGGTCCGCGGCGGCCGACGCGTTGGCCCTGTCGGAGCCCAGGCCCGCGACCACGTCCAGGGCGGACGTGATGGGGAACAGCCTGGAGGCGCCGGCACAGCAGCCGAGCATCAGGCACGCCGCCAGCAAGACCCTCGGCTGCAGAGCCGTCGTCGAGACCCCGCTGCCTGGCATCCTGCGTGCGCGGCCCGGATCTGCGGGCAGAGCGGAGGAGCGGTGCTCGGTCAGCCGTGCGTGCGCCTCGGCCTGCCGGAAGTCGACGCGCTCCGCCGAGCTGTCGAGTCGATCGCGGCGACGGAGAGCGGCGCGGGCTTCGACGAATTTGGCTCTCGCGTCGGCGCTGCACGCGCATGGGGGAGTTAAAAATAGAGATGCCCGCTCGGCGCGTGACAGCCTCGCGGAATGCGCGCTCAATTGTTATCGCCGTCGTGGCTTCTTCGCGCCGAATACAAAGTGGAGTTGGGTTCCGCGCGGCGCGAATTCCATCATGACTAACGTCCTCTTGGGCGCTCGTCGTGGGACGCGCCGTACAAATTGCTCGCGAGCAGAGCGAGCGCGAGATTTATCGGTTTCGATGTCGAATAATTTCTGGCATCGCTCGGCCGGACGGCGAAACGCTCATTTACATTTGAATCAATCCTCCGCGATTCTCGCTCGGTTCGCCCGTGGCCTCCGATTTGAATATTTTCTATGCCAACGGCCTCTTTCGACGCAAGCCTCTGCCGAGCTCGCTCCAAAGAGACACCGAGACACCGAACGTCGGAGGAACGCCAGCTTGGGTACTGTTGGACTCGGATATCGCGAACGCGCTTGGAAAGTTATCGGCTGTCAGCGGCTGGCCGTGTACGGGTCGGTCGACGGCCGCAAAGGCAAGCGAATGCGCGGCAAAGTGAACCCGGCAACGCGGACGAAAGTCGTCGGAGCCGCAGGGGGGGTCTCGAGGCGAGGCGCGCGCCCAATACCGCAGGCGCTCGCGGCGAATCGATCGTCCGATCGTCGCTCGACGAAACCACGGGGGACAATTATCGTATCGCGTGCGCGAGCGCGAGCGCGCTAAAAATGCCCGTCTCTCTCGCATAAATAACTCAATCGAGCCGAGCAGCTTTGCGCTCTGCGAGCAAGAACCAGCGCAGGAGGAGGACGGACAATCGGAGCGAAGAAGGCGCAGCGACAGCGAGAGAGCGGAACGCGGGCGCGCGCGCGCCACGGCATACGCGACATTCTCGCTCGGAGCGTTTTTACCGCGGACTCTCTGTCAATTAAAGCCCGTCGCGGATAAGCACAGCCGGCGCCGTCCAAGCGGCGTCGTCGATTACCTTGTTCGCTTAGCTCTTCGGCCTGGCGCACCTTGAGAATCACATTGTTGTCGGAGCACACGAGGGCGAAGCGTAGACTTGCGCGCCGAGAGCAAAGTTTGGCGAGCAGGCGCGAGTTCAAAGTCCGACGTGGTACTGGAGGAGAATGGAGCGGAGAGGCAGACGAAGAGAGAACGGGCGCGGTGCTGGCGGGAGCGCAGCCTCCGAGGAACTAGATTGAGTTGTGACGGCTGAGCGCAAGCGGCCGAAGCTCTCTCCCCCCACTCGCGCGCAGCACAACAACCGACCAACCGACCTATACGAGCCGCGGCCAACCTAAAGGAGAGGGACCATCGCACGAGCACGCTCACCTACAGGCGCGAGCGCCGCTGTGTGCGCAAGACCTCGAGGCAGCGGCGGCTCGCCACTAGCAGCAGGCAACCAAGCTAGCAGCCCCTGATTGAGATACCAACTCTCCTCTCGCGGGCCCAACGCTCCCCCTACCGCGCAGCCTCCTCCTACTCCTCCTTCCTCTATATGCTTCTGCTGCTGCTGCTGCTGCTGCTGCCGCCGTCGCCGCCGCCGCCGCCGCCGCCGCCGCTTCTTTGGAGAAAGACTACTGCAGCGGTGCATCGTAATGGGTCCCAAGAGCGCGCGATCCCAATCACTGGTTCTCAACCTACATACGTCTCTACTCCTCCGCAGCCGAATAACGAAGGGTTATTCGGTGTCACGTCCCGGCTGCGTGCTCGGCCGCGAGCGAGCAGGTGCAGCTCTTTTCAACGGATAATGAATTACAGCTCGGCGACGCCGCCGCCGCCGCCGCCGCCGCCGCCGCCATGAATTAGCTATGCTCCGATTCCACTCCGACGGAATGGACGGTTCCTCCTCGCTTTTCCTTCTTTCTTTTTCTCTCCGCCTCGTCCGTTACTCTTCGCGCTCCCGCGGACGTGGACCGTGGCACGGCGCACGGGGGCCCGGCTGAAAATCAGCCTATTGTTGGTCGCGCGGACGCGCGTGCTCTTCCCCGTGGGAAGGGAACCTTTTCATTGTTTCGGCCTCCGCCTCGTAGGCCCGGACCGCTCGCGCGGATGTACCTCCAAGCGAAGCACTCGCTCCCGTACGTCGCGCTCTAATTTCATCGAGCGTCCTCTTCTCGAGCTGTACCGACGAGGACGAGCGTCGACGTCCGATTGGCCCGGAAACCACAGTCGTCCCGCGCCCACGGATCGTCTATTGCCCAACGGACGATTCAATACCCCCGATCGCCATTTCGCGCATTCGCCATCGCTAATGAAGATGTGAAATATAACAGCAAACAACCAGTCGGCCGTTGAAAAAACGAAAAAAAATGAAAGGAGCGAAGGAAAAAACCGAGCATCGCCGGGAGTTTCTCTTCCTAAAATGACATAACAGAGCAAAAGAGCGAAAGAGCGAAGCGATTGCGACGAAAGAAAAAAAGGCGGAGCAGCGGACAAGGCCGTGGCCTCCAGATTTCTTTCGGCGCGAAAAAAGCGCAAACGGGAAAATTGAGAACCCCCCGAGGAGCCGAGGCGAGGGTGCAGCCAGCTGGCTACCTGCGACAGGACAATGGTCCCGCGAAACACGAGGCGCGCGCACTCTCTGTCTCCCTGTGTATTTTCTGCCGCTGACCGAGCAAACGGCTCGAGGTGTCCGCCACGGGGCCTACGTAAATAAAGCGACGCCACGCGCGCTATCGACACTCCGAAAAAAATCTGCATCTCGGCGCGCGTCGAGATTGAGTTATTATCCCTCCCCCCGCCGCTCTCGTTTCCTGCTCGCGGCGAGAGCGAAGGAGACAACGAGTAAACGTCCAGGGAGCAATTAAGCTATCTAATTTAGAGCTACGCGCGACACGTTAATTGGAAAGGAGCAGGCGCGCGCATCGCGAGCGCGGCTTCGGCATCGACTGCAATAAATTGGCTGATTTGTGCCGCGAGGTTTTAACCGGGGACTTTTTGCCGCGCGGAGTATGCGCGGCTCGTCGTTGTTTTGGGCCTTTGGCGAACGCGCGCGCGCGATGGGAAGGCAAATAATCGGTGGCGCGCCGCAGGTGCAGCTCCAGCCACGGGGCAAAGAAAGGCGCTCGCGCGGTTTTTCCGCGCGATTAGCCCGAGCAACATCGGATCCCCGCGCGTGCAACGGAGAGCGAGAAAGCGAGCTATCCGGTGTCTCAATCGATACAAAACACGCTTTCTTGCGGCCTCGACCAGCAGATCGCTTACGTTTATTAACGGCCCGATCGCGCGCAGATTGCCATGCCTCTACCGCGCTTACGCGAAAGGATGCGGCCGAGACAGCGCGATCGAACTAATGATATCTCGCGCGCGGGAGACTCCTCCGCGGCCGCTGCGAGCTACGAGGGAAATTCTTGCGCGAGGGAGGTCTATTTGTTGTTTGCGCTTTTTGCGCGGTGCTTCTTTCTGCCCCGAGACCAAACCGACGATTCGATGTGCTTATTATGGCCGCTCGAGCTTGAAATTTAGTGCTCTTTCAGATTGTAATCTGCCCTTTTTTTGCTCCTTCATTTCCTTCTTTTTCGCCTTAATACTGAAATCTCAGTTCTTGAAATTATTTGCAAGTTGGACTGTATCCCACGAGCGTTATTAACTTGGAATTTAGCGCGCCATTTTTTTACTCTACTTACGCAGTTTTTATCTACGTCTCGGGATATTTTATTTATTTGCCAATATCAGTAGTATTTTTAAATATGCGAGGAAGGCATACGTATATTTGTATCGAGTAAAATCTTGTGAAATCCTATAGAAAATGTGAAAGTCAGTTAATGCTTCGAAAATCGGAATTATTTATGTTATGTCGATTTGTTTTTATGTTTATAAATACCATCGACTAAATAGTTTTTTTCATTTTTTTTCGCTCGTCCGTGCAAGTAAATTATTCGTTAAATTATTCACCTAGCAATGTCAAAATATTATATAACTAATTTCAAATACTGTGTAGCCTAATAAATATATTTTGCAACGCAATTATACAATCATGGCAAAATCTGAAAACCCCATGTGTTTAAATTTAAACGCTCTAAGTGTGCAAATGCGACGCTATCCATAAGAAATACATTGTACCTGAATTAAAACTTTTAGAAGTGCTTAAAATTGGTAACAATATATTTCTTACGGCTGAAGTCACATTAAACGTTTAAATTTAAACACATGGGTTAACCATGAACGCCTCGGCTATCAAATACGGCTAACTCCGTAAACGTAAATTTTTCGTTGAGTTTTTCATTTCACTGAAAATGAACAAAGAACACATTGTCCAACGAATCAATGTAAACAACCAATATTACGAGGTCGCAAATTATCACCTTGAAACGTATAGCATTCTCGCCTGAAGAGAGAGAGTGATAAAAAACAGCCGGCATGTATTTATTGTCCCCCATGCGAGTACACAAGCTCACGCCAACAGCTCACTTACAATCCAACAATTGCAAGCGACTTAAATCACCGTTGCACAAGCATAAAGCCGCACTAACGCTCTCACAAAGAGTCGGACTTTATTGCCTCAAAATCCAGTTTTTTCCTACTATCGCTCTCTTTCTCTCTCTCTCGCTCGGCCCGAACATCGGCGGAACATCAGAAAGAAAAAAGCATATCGAGCTCTCCTCGTAAACTACTCGTCGAAAGAATTCGAAAATCAAGCGGGAAGGCGGAGGCCGGCGCGCAGCCGTCGACGTGCAGGCCTTTTTCGGCGTGGTTTCGGCGCCTGCGCGCCCGCGGCGCGCGGTTATCGATCGGCTGCTGGCTATCGGCTGTACGTGGGTGGGTGGCTCTGACGTCGTGCGTGTGCACCGCGCAAAAGTGTCTCTCTCTCTCTCTCTCTCTCTCTCTCTCGCTCTCTCTGGTTTCAGTCCCGCGAGAGGTATGGCGAAAACCGAGTGGTCGGCGCGCTCGTAAATCGTCGTCGTTGCAATAGCGAGGTTCGTTAGCCGCAGCAGCCGGAAAGAAGCGGAGCGCGAGAGCTTCCTCAACATGATACGTCTGCTGGGATTGGTCTTGAGCGTCGGCCTGGCGCTGGTCGACGCAGGCGTGATCGCCGACGGGTACTCGGAGGACGGCGGCCGCTACGCGCTAGAAAACCAGCTGAACGTCGAGCGCCGGGAGAACGAGGCCATCGCCAAGCTTTACGAGAACGTGCTGGACATTCTGCAGGTAAAGCTCGAGAGCAGCCTCCGAGAGCTCGAGAGTTGCGGCTGGCGTAAGGCCCGACATTGGGCAGACGCGGGCTGAGCCGGGGTCACGGCGATCGATCGCCACGAGCGCCACACCGCTGGCGCGGAACCTGTTGCGCCCCCTCGTATTTCATCCTTGCGCTCGTAACTCGGACAACAACACGCGCGCCCATAAACACCTCTCTCGCTCTGCTTTTCAGTGTCGACTTCCGCGCGAAAGGCCCGTCAACGCTCGAGCCGACGACCAGCAGCAGCAGCAGCAGCAGCAGCAGCAGCAGCAAAGCTATCTGGCGACGCAGCCCGTCCAGGACCGCAATTGGAAGAGTCCCAAGGGCCTCGGCCAGGTCTCCGGAGTGAGCGTCGATCAGCAGGGCCGACCCGTCATCTTCCATCGCGGCGATCGCGAGTGGGAATACGAGTAAGCGATCTCGATCTAGGCCCTCTTTTCTTCTCTCCGGTCCGAGGGGCCCCTTTGTAATAGGCACGCGGGCCTCGCGCTCGAGTGGCGCGTCGGATTTTCTTTCGCTGCGCCCCCACCTGCCGCGCGCGCGCGCGCGCGCTCGATTCCACTTTTCATCTCGCCGGGATAACAGTTTTGCCATTGTCGCGGATCGATAATGGCTGGCAGCCTGTTTGGCTTGTAGAAATGCTTGTTTACTCGCGCGTTCTGCCTTGCTGGCTTTGTTATTTTAGCTGCTTTTCAAATCAACTTGACGTTTCGTCTTTGAAAACCACTCGAAAACCACTATCGATCTTTTTTCCACTTGGACGATCATGTACTATATACGATATATGTGGATATTCGCCGAGGAAGGACGAATAATTTATTTATCGGTCGAAAGTATTTGCAGCTATGAGCGAGCAACATTCGTCGTGAGTCGGCAATAAGGATTTTAGCATTAGTTTTTCTGAAAAATGGCATCGGTCGTCGAAAAGTACGCCCACGCGAGTGCGTCAAACACGACGACACTCGTTTCGTATTTTGCGTCTGCAATGCTGCTGCATTCCAAGGAATTTGGAGCTCAGAAATGCTTGCACTCGCAAAAGGTGACGCGATGGACGGAGGCGACGCGTGAAAACGGATCGCAGTAACTAGTAATTGCAAATATTAGTCGTAGCTGTTAGCGATGCCACGCGTCTCGTTGTTCAAGAACGTTTGTCGAGGAGCTCGAGAAGCAACCTCAAACACGAGCGCGCGTAAGCACTCGTCGGAGCAGCATCGGTAAATAATCGAGGGCACGAAAGCTCCCTGGCATGGGCGAGGCCGGCGCGATTCCGGCGCTGCGCGTGAGAAAAACTTGAGTATCACGCGCTCAAACAAGCTAATCTATTTGCTCGAAATTAACGTCCACTCGACAGGTAGCGTGGTAGCTCACCTGCCGCTTACAGTCCGAAACGAGAGAGGCGAAATGAAGCAGAAAAAGAAACAAAAAACGATGTCCCAAACGGAATGAAAGCAAAAGGAGCAAAACCAAGAGAGAGAGAGAGAGAGAGAGAGAGAGAGAGAGAGAGAGAGAGAGGAGATGGAATATAAAAGGGCCATTCCTTTCTCTCGATCCTGTTTGCTCGCACCTTCGCCGATGTTTTCCCTGTAACACAACTCGGTCTCTCGCTTCGGCGCGATCGAGGTCTAACCTTCCGAGACAGATAGTACAGAAAGAGCGCGCAGAGTGTAGCGCGCGAGTGTGTGCCGAGAGGTGCGAGCCAATAACACCTTCCAGCTCTCTCTCTCTCTCTGTTGGCATCTTCCCGCCGACTGCGCGAGCCTCGTATTTACAGCGAAACCCGCATAAAAAGCTCTGCTTTACGAGGGCCGCTCTTCTCGCTCACGCCGAGCAGTAAGAAAAAACGAGTGGTGCGACAAGCGTCGCGATCGAGTGTAGATGCATCCCGATAAAGGGGAGCTGCCGCAGCCGCCGCAGCCGCCGCAGCCGCCGCCGCTGCACCTTGGCCAGCGGAGAAAGAGAATTGCTGCCGAGCGCGGACAGGATTTATGGGCTTACACGCGAAAAATATCGTATACCGGCGATGCTCGTTCCGCAGGAGAGCGAGCAGTGAGCAACGGGCACTCGCTTGTTGTTCCCATGTAAACGCCGCGCTTTGTTGGCTTTTAATGAATCGACGACTGCACTGCTTTCCGCTGGCGAGGCGAAACGAAGCATATCGCGACGCGTGTCCAGCTCGGAGGTCCATTGTACCGAGAAATAAAGTCATCCGCGCGCGGGCGCGAGTGTGCCCGGTAAATCCACGCATCACGCTTGTCCGGTGCCAGTCGAACGCGATCGTTTCTCGATAAATCTCGCGCCGCGCCGAGTCCGCCTACGCGAGCAGCCCGATGAGAAAATCCGATGTGGGCCTACGGGCCATTGAGCGCCTCCCGATTGTCGCGTATTGTGTCGCGCATTGTGTCGCGCATTGTGTCGCGCATTGTGTCGCGCAGCCATACACGGGCCTCCATTATTTGCAGCTCGTTCGACTCCAACTACCAGTACGCGAGGCCCCAGGACGGACCCATCGCCGTAAACACGGTGTTGACGTTCAACCCCGAGACTGCCCAGCTGGAAGACGAATGGGGCAGCGAGGCGTTCTACCTGCCTCACGGCATACACATCGACACGCACGGCAACTATTGGCTGACGGACGTCGCGCTCCATCAGGTTTTCAAGGTGAGCGTTCCCGATCACGGTCACAATGACAGCCGCGACCTACTACTGCGAGCCCGACCTAAATCTCCGCGCCTTTTCCGGAATAACGAGCCAACCTCGAGCGGCTTACCCTCGATCGGCCAACGTTCTCAGGCTTTGGCTTTGCTTGACAAAGCGCCGCTCCACTTTTCCTAGGAATCGTCAACACTCCTAGTTGTTAATAATCCCCGCTGAAAATCTCGGTTTGAAACGGCCGTCGCCGTCGCTCCAAGTAGACCAAACGAGCGGAAAGCGCGAGGATGCGTGCGAGCGCTAACAGAGCCGTCAGTGCGTCTCGAATGGGCTTTTCAGAGCCGATCAACGGACATTTCATCCTTCGTTTCCTCGAGCGCAACCTAAAACACGAGCGCACAAGCGCACAAGCGATATGTTCGAAGCGAACGCGAGTCCAGAATCCAGCCCGATCAGTCTAGATCTTTGGAAGCTCGCTCGAGACAAAAGACACCCCGCTTACCTAGTTTCCCACAATGGCCGAGTCATCTGTATTCTTTCTTCGTAGTTCCCAAAACGAACGGGCAGTAGCGAGGGACGGGCGAGCGAGGCGGAGCCGAGTCTGGTGCTCGGCGAGCGTTTCGTGCCGGGCAGCGATGGGATGCACTTCTGCCAGCCGACAGCCGTGGCGGTGATGCCTAGCGGAGAGATCGTGGTGGCCGACGGTTACTGCAACGATCGAGTGCTCATCTTCGATCCCACGGGCCGACCCATAGGCCAGCTTCCGCCATACGGCAACGAAGGTAGGTGAACCGAGCGCGCCGAACGCTCCATCGTAAGCGACCAACGACGCCGGCGTCCGTCTTTCCACAGACTTCTTGAGACTCCGCGTGCCGCACAGCCTGACGATCCTGCGCCGCGGCGACGTGTGCGTGGCCGACCGCGAGCACCAGCGCATCGTCTGCTTCAACCTGACCGCCGCCCTGAAGCGGCGCGAGCGTCAACTGGCCAACGGCGAGCGCGAGCGCCAGCTCGAGTGGCCTCCGCTGGTGATCCACCGGCCAGGTGCCTGCAGGATCTTCGGCGTCGCCTCGCACGGTACCTAATCTCCTTTGGCTCCTTCCGCTCTTAATCGAGTCATCAAAGCGTATTGCGGCCGGATGTGCAGCCCGAGCGCTTTGAGACACACTCGCAGAGAGACCGAAAGTGCGAGAGAGAGAGAGAGAGAGAGAGAGAGAGAGAGAGAGAGAGAGAGAGAGAGAGAGAGAAGGAGAGACGGAGACGGAGGAGCAGATAAATCCTGAGCTGCTGCTGCCGCTGCCGCTGCCGCTGCCTTCTGCTTCTTTTTACTGCTCAACGGCTTATGACGTCCTGTCGCCAGCGACCGTAGCCGCGCCGAGTTATTTATCGCGTGCAGTCTCGTCATTCGACTGCGCTCGTCTGCTTTTTTCTCCACCCAGGCCGTACACACATTTTTTTTCTCTCGCACAGATGACATGCTTTATGCTATCAACGGCCCCACTACCCCGAACAATCCAGTCATGGGCTTCACTCTCAATCCAGACTATGGATCTGTCGTCGCCACATGGGGTCCTTCCTACGACGTAAGTTTTCAAACTCTCGTTTAATTTGTAAAGCCCTTGTCCTTCCCATGCCTTCCTTCTCTTTCCTCTTTTCTCGTCTAACAACGAGAGCTCGCGCGAGTTCTTGACTTGGCGTCAAATTCTAATCAAAGTATTGCTGCTGCAATTGCTCGGTTAACGACCAATCCCAGACTTGTCTCCAACTCGGACGTTCCGTAGCAGCTAATAATGCAATCGTTGACACTCGCCCTCCTAGGCACATCGAATCAATTTCAACGAGAAAAATTGTCCATTTCGAATAATCGGCTGATAATCAGCTACTTAGCGCGGCACTTGCGCTCTCAACAAGCTGAGAACCACTATCCGCCTTGCTCATTGCCGAGAGCAAGCATCGCTTCGCAGAAAACATAGACTTGCATGCGAGCCTCTTTCACAATGTACAAAGCAAAATTGCCAAAGGGACTCTCCCCCCACCCCGCGCCCGCTCTCTCTTACTATATATGTATCGATCGCTCCTCGCGTGCGAGAAGCTCCTCGCAGCAATGCGCACAACTTGAAAATTACAATAATCATGACCGTTTGCAGTCATTCAGCAATCCGCACGAGATAGCCGCTTGCCCGAACGGCTCAGCCCTGTACGTGACGGAGATCGGCCCGAACGTGGTGTGGAAGTTCAGGCTGCTAACGAACTGGAAAATGTAAATTGAAATATACGCAAGCGAGAGAAAAAGGAAGAAGAGACAGCCCCCCCCCTTTCCCCCTACGCCTACTGTTTCGTTGCCAAGGGGTGACTTATCTATGGTATCACGAGAAGAAGAAAAACCAGGAGCAGCAACAGCAGAGGATCGAGTAGAGTCGCTCGAGAGTGTATACCTATATGTATTCTTAGTGGCCTGCAGGAGACGAGCATCACGAGTACAGGCCGAGAGAGAGAGAGAGAGAGAGAGAGAGAGAGAGAGAGAGAGAGAGTAAACATATACATATTCGAAAATTCAAATGAAACGAGGAGCCGAAGAGCAACACGCACACACTCGAGAACCAGTTTCTAAAGAGAGCGCGAGCGTACAAAGATACACACCAGCACGCGCATACCGACGCAGAGGCACGCGCGGCCAATTGACTGGTTTACTTGGCGACCATTCATTAATGCAGCGAGCAAACAGTATCCTCGACACGCCGTGTAAATACAATTACCGCCGAGCATATTGACTCGCGGCTCACTTCTTCTATTTGCACAGCGTTACGAAATCCAATCAGTTGTTCGCGCGCGCGCGCTTCCTCGCTTGTCCTATTAATCTGCCTAATCGGCCTCTGCCTGTCGCGCACCTATCCTCCCGCCACGGACACGTTCCTCGATTGACGCTCACCCGCTATCGTCGTATACGAAACACCGGGATTTTTCTCTTACCTTCGCAACAGTCCCTAAAGGCCATTTCTCACGCGATTCTTCGCAGTGCACGCAAACGGAACCTCGGCGAAGGCGACTCTCTTTCTTTGGAACTCGGGTCAATTTTTATATCGATATACACACAATACGCTGTTTTTAAGGACGCTCAACTACAAAAGTACAAGCAACTACCAGTCCATACGATACTTCAGTCTGTTAAACGTCTCTTCATATCACGACACGCGTCCAGTCGACTACTACTAATACTACTTTTAAACTATAGTCCGAACTTACGTCCGTCTTTTAACTATGAATCTATTTGTCACAGCAATGTAAACGCCGTATTGCAAGAAAGCATAATCTATGCATGTGTATTTGAAAATCAAAGAAAAAGAAAGATTTGAAATTCTACAGGGAATCATGTACCATGTCACTGTACTATTCTATGTAGCTTTTCTACTGTGATAGATAATCTATGTTATTCAGTTGGATAGTTTATTATTCGTTTACTTTAACGAACATCAAGTCAATAAATAAATATGTATATGTATGTGTATAGAGAGAGACGAGAAACGAGTCAGAAGTTAATTTTCCAATTACCTTTGGACGAGCCGTCCGACCGTCGGTTTCCGAATGAAAAGAGCCGGCGGGCAAAAAAACCTCCGAAACAATTAGCTTCCGGCACAAATCGCGCGCGCCAATTCCAAAAAATCATCGAAACTTCCTCCGCGCGGTCTGCCGACGGATAGAGAGGGGAGGAAGAGCAGCGCAGCGTGAAAAAGCGGCAAAAAAGCGCGACCGATAGGATCGAGGGGAGAGAAGGCCCAGAGACCACCTGAAGTACACGGAGAAGCATCATCATCGTCATCGAGAGGCGCGACCGCAACAACACGAGGAGAGCGGCCTGCCGCTGGCGCTCGCGGCTGCGAGTCCATTGACTTGAGAATCGCAAATTGCAGCCGCGTAAACATCTCAATCGCGCCGAGAGCACGGGAAAAAGGAGAGGGGCCGGGGAGGAGGAGGGGAGAAAGGGGCTCACGAATAAGCCACGGGTCGCGCGGGAAAAAGACGGCGGAAATCGGCGGCTTGGCGCTTTTCTCGCGCATCGCGCGCCGTGCGCCATTGACAGGCCCCCGAGACGCTGCACGACTAATGAAGACGTGTGCTGGAGGCGAAGTTGGAATGATCGGCGGACCCGGTATTCCCTTTCTCTCGCGCGCCACGCCTCGCTTTTTCTGTCTTTCATCTTTCGCCTCTCTCTCGCTCGCTCGCTCGCTGTCTTTATCTCTCTCGGCTTGGCGCGAACGCTTGTTGCTCTTATTTGCGCGCGCGCGACTCGCTGCTTTTTTAAGCGTGCAACCTCTCGCTTAAAACACATCTCTAAACTGGTTTCGCTTCCAGCGGCTCTCCGCGGAGCGCCGCTGCCCGCCGATAACTTTATTACGCGAGAAAGCCGTCCGTGCGCACGCATATACGCGCGCGCCTCTCGCAGAAAAATAGCCGAGGCGCGAGAGGATATACGTCTCGCAAAAAGCCTCTCTCGCTCCGCAGATGCGCGCGAAAACGACGCAAAAAAGCCTCCCCTCCTCGGCCGATAGACGCTTCCCCTCTTGGTATCGTCCTCGGAAATTGAGTTGTTAAAATGCTGCCCGCGGCGAGAGAGGCCAAGAGAGAGAAAGAGAAAGGTAATGGCCCTCTCTCTCGCTCTCTGGACTCACGGCCGTATCGCACGTGTTCGCGCGCCCCGCGAGAGAGACGGAGAACCCGACGCTAGCTCCGCACTTACGTGTCCCCCAGGATTGCCAAGCGCCGAGATCGATCCAGACCTGCTCGTCGATCTATGAGTTTCTTTTTCCTCTCTTCCGAAGGCATCGGAGCCGAATTTTCATTGCACCTCTTTCCCAGGGCCTGCGCGTCTCGCGTGGTCCCGATGCTTTCGAATCCATTTTCACAGGAGCAATCGTCGACGATTCGTTGGGACGAGGCTCTCTCGCGCGGGCCTCCGCTGTCGATCACGACGAGCTAACGCCTGCAATTAACTCGCGTGCATGCTGTGTCATCGGCCTCAATTTGCGTCTCTCTCTCTCTCTCTCTCTCTCTCTTCGGTGCACGCTTCGTTTGTGCTGTCCATTGGACCAGCCGACTCGAATGGAAGCCCGTTTCGAGTGTCGTTCGCGTGCGGTAAGTGCGTCAACTTTGCGGACAATTTAGAGGATGTAATTACTCGTTTCGGCGGAAACATCCGTTAACCAAGTAAAAAGGAACTGCAGCGGTTACAAAGTTCTTGAACGTTGCATATAAAAGATACGTCTGATGAATTATTTAATGGTGTCGCTTGTGGGTTGCGTAGAAGTCATGAAATTCGTATTAAACAAAAGGAGAGCATACGCGGAAAACAGAACCAACGCTTTCACGGTAGCAAGTTATGACTTTGAATTTCTTACTGCTGGGAAAGAAATTTTAATACAATACATTTTAACTTTTCAACGTTGCAATAGAAAAGATGGAATGCTGTGAACCTTCACACCTCGTTCAACCTATCTCTTGTCAATCGGTAACTCCGAGTTCATCAACACTGCAGTACTGTTGGGTATGAAAAAAAATTTCTTCGGGTGTTTCAAGTACAGCACCGTCCATGTTTGATGTACATGTGCATAAAATAATATTACGTCAAATTCTATATCGGAAATAATGGATTAAATTCTTATGGATTTTAAAGGGCGACTTATGAATTATTCGCGAAGTTTAATATCTTTTTCATCGAAAAGAAATAAATAAATAATTGGCAATTTTAAAAACTTAAACATTTTACACGTATACTTTACGATAAGTACGAATCTTTATTAAAAGAAATTTTAGTTCTTTCAAAATGCATTGCTCCAATAAATGCCAATCACATTCATTAGTCTAAAATAATCTTTTCCAATTCAACCAACGCCACTTGGAAATGCCAAAGCTACAACAAGTCGCAGTATTGCAAACATGCCAAAAATACGAATAGGCTTGAAAATTAGGGGATTTGACGATCTAGAGAGGATGGTGGAAATATTTGTGAAAAATCCAAAGAATGCAGTAAAGATGGGTCAAAGCTTCTTGCGAAACGAGAAACATTCTGTGCATTCGCCGAACAATCGCAGATAAAGCCGGAGCACTTTGTAAAACAATCATCAACGTGTTTTACTTGGCATTAATCGTCCTGTTCTGGTTGCACTCGAACGAGCCACGTCAGACTTTACAAATGCCGGCGCGTTTATTTCTCATCGGATTATCTAATTATTATTGTCATTATATGATGATGATTATTATAAAGGCAAAAATGCCGCTCGAGTCGTTGGCGCGAAGTCGTTTTGGAGCGCAAAGCAGTCACCGCTGCCGCTCTCCACTTCTCTCTCTCTCTCTCTCTCTCTCTCTCTCTCTCTCTCTCTTTCTCTCTCTCTCTCTCTCTCTCTCTCTCTCTCTCTCATCTCGTCGGTCGGGCTTTTTGATCGGAGCTCGCGCGATTACGTTTCTTCTGAAAAACGAACGATAGGAAAGCGGAGAGAGATGGAAGCCCGATGGGCGTCGAGATTGCGATTTCGAACGATTCTCGCGCCAGCGCTTAACGATACGTCACGTTTCCCAAGAATATTTCGCTTCCATCAGGCTTGTCCTCCTCTTCTACCTCGGCTCGGCTTCAAACCTTACTTTTTTCACCTTTTTATTGACTCCCATATACTCGTACGATTGGCGTGCGTGCGCGCGCCCGCGCGTTTTTCTCTCTTCTTCCGTTTGCATCTTCTTTTTTCTTCGAGTTCGCGTCCGCGCCAACTTGTCCTCTTTTTTCCCAAAGGTCGTTTTGCATTTTTCAAATCTATGCGCCTCGTTATTCATGCAACAATTTGATTAATGCGCTCGGTAGGAGCGCTGAGAGGAAGGCACGTATTTTTTTGGAAATCGATTGGTTTTTTTCTCATTTTTTTTTTGCCTTTTTTTCTTTTTTGCTGGACGTGTTTGGTTGCCTACGATTGATAAATCTTTCGACCATATAAAAAAGATTATCGACAAGCTCGATTTCATACACTTATGCGATGCTATTTTTTTATCAAATCGTGAAAAATTATCAGAAAAATAACTTTAAAAGATGGTTACATTTTCTAAGGAATTGTTTTTAAAAAGTTTAAAATATTTTTCGTATAGCTATTCGTTCCCTGAAACGATACGTAGTTGATTCGGCTTTATAAAACTACTGTATATCAATGTTTTCATATAAGCATTTTGTAAAATTGATATCATGTATGTATTTTTTTATTCGTGATTTCCTTCGAACTAATTGTTTCAATTGAACAGTAAATAAAAGTTCATCGCGAAGAGAAAGACAAATTAAGGCCAATGATACGGCATACGAGTACACATGACTTCATTGCAGGCGACAACTTGACAAGATTGACAATTAAGCTTGAAGCCCAAAAGAAAGCGTCATGCAAGTGAATTGTAAACACTTCTGAATCAATTTCAAACTGTCAATTCCAAAATACGTACTTAAGCGTTTTTATATTTTTTGTATTTTCGTCAATAATCTTTCCAGTGTTACATTCGAAGTCAAATTATCACATAAAACAATTAATTACAGTAACAAAAGCTTCATTTTTCTCAAGATTTTTCAACATTAATAGTCTTCTTGCGTGTCCTTTGCTCTAATTGCGTTCACATCAGCTATGTTTCTATTATTGTTTTGCCAATTACAAAAAAAAAACCCAATGTCAATCGTAAAAAAGTATCTCAGCAATGGAACATTTTAAAGATGAATAGGATTTCGCTTTCTTTTTTTTACACTGTCAATTAGCCAAGTAGCTTTGAATTATATATCAATTATTGAAAAATCGAAAATAAACGCTCTCCCCATCAATTTGAATAATTAAATTAATAATAACATGAAATTTTCATTTTCAAATTATTACTTATAATTTTTACTTTTAAATTATTTGCACTTTCTCACATTTTTTGTTTAGCGCAATAAATATCGTTGCATAATAGTAGCAGTCGATTCACTTTCTATTTATAAATTATTGGAGCTCTTACGATTATTTACCGAATGAGTAGGCAAACCGGTAGCAAGTAAAGTAGAACTTTCAGTTGTCGACGTCCGACATTTTTTTCTTGCGTGAAAATCGATAGATAGCGCAGCTTCAATTAAAGAATTAAGGAAAAACTTAATTCAGAAAAGTGCTTCAAGCGCCACCTAAAAATATTGTCACGTGTAGGTGTATTTAATCAAGTCAAGTCAAGCGCCACTTTTGGTTATGTGCTACGCTGTTTTGGACGCACGTGTATATCATTAACTTGATTGAATTTGACAAGTTATTCATTCAATAACCAATGTCGTCAAAGAAGAAGCCACTTAGCATTGCTGAGAAAATAAGTGATTTGATTACTTCTGTACCAAAAAGTTTTGAATCTGACGATGAGGCGGAGGAAACTAAAGCAAAAGTTGTCGATTTCAACGACGAAATCGATGACGACGATTTTGATTCTGGCTTCAATAAATGCAGCATTCGAAAGCGAAACGTGAATTTATTGGAAGAATTCGACAGAAGGTGAATGTCATTTATCTCAATTTTGATTAACGATGTAATTTTTCTTTTGAGGTTACCTTAAAATATAGTGTGAATCGACGTAGGTGGCTGTTTTACTGATTTTAATTTTTTTTAGGTACAAAGGCAAAAAAGTGTCAAAAAAGGATATTTTCAATGAAGGTTTCAGCTCTGACGGAAGTGTTGAAAGTGATCAAGGTAGTGATGAAGCTGATGATGGATCTTCAAAAGAATTAAACAAACAAACTTTTAATGCAGCTAGCGATGAAGAGAATGCAGCTTCAGACGACAAAGGACAATCAGATGAAGAGAATGGTATTAGATCACAGGAGAGTAATGATGATAGCGAAGACTTTTCTGACGAAGAAGATGAATTTGGTGACAGTATTGATCTGTCAAATCCATTGAGAAGAGCTCGTGAAACTGATGATACAATCAAAACTGTATCAGCTACAAATGTAAGAGCAGAAATTGAAAAGGGTAACTGCATTAGAGAAGAGTTGAAGATGTGGGAAAATTTGTTGGAAATGAGAATCAAGTTGCAAAAATGTTTGGCGAATAGTAATAGAATGCCACAGTTTGATAGTTACAAAGATTATGATTGTAATGATCAATTCAAAACAAATTGTAACTCTGTAAAAAAAGAACTTGGCAAACTCCTTGGTAACTTGTTAGATTTACAAAGCAAACTGCTGATGAGATATCCTGAAACAGAAGGTATTTTATCAAAAGGACAGAAAAGGAAAGCTAATGCAGATGGAGATAATGATTCAGATGAAGAAGATGATTTAATGGACGAAGAGATTCCTTCGGACACAGAGGATGAAATGAACGAGGAAGATGTAGGCAAAGAAGAAGAGGGTAGTGAAGAGGAAGAGACAAATAAGAAAGGAAAATCAAAGCAAGCGAGGAAAAAGTTTAAACTATCGGAGTTTGAACAAGTGATATCTAAAAATCACAAAGCTTACTCAGAATACAGAAATGCTGTTATACAAAAGTGGAACGACAAGACAAGGATAGGTTCAGGTGTTATAAAGAAAGGTCTTGTAAATCAACCAGTGATCAAACAAATAGAATTCGCGTTAGCGAATACAGATAAATTGATGAAAAAAACACAGTTAAAACGGTCAGAGTACGATGTTGTCGGTAAAACATCAACCTCTTTAGAAGAGAGTGATGGACGTCGAACGCAAGAGTACGATACGGAAATTTATGACGACGACGATTTTTACCATCAACTGCTACGAGAGCTGATCGAGTACAAGTCAGCTGACACAATAGATCCGATAGCTCTGAGCAAACAATGGGTACAGCTGCAGAATATGAGAAGCAAAATGAAAAGAAAGATCGATACCAGAGCGACGAAAGGCCGTAGAATACGTTACAATGTGCACCAAAAACTCGTTAATTTCATGGCGCCAATTACAGTTAACGATACGTGGACTGATCGAGCGAAGGACGAACTGTACAGCTCGTTGTTTGGTAAAATTAAACCAGTAAGTCAAGAGGCGAAGCCGACGTAATTTAATCAACTGTTTGTACGAATGATTTCTTTTGTCTTTTGTTACAAATGCGATATGACTTTTTGTTATTGAACTTTCACGAAGTTCATATATTTATTAGTGATTCGATGTGTAAATATATATATTTAAGTAGAAATATTAATAAAATTTTAAACTGTTTTATTGTATGTTATTTTTACTGAAGAAATATGACTTTCGATAATTTCTAATTTATACAATAAATTGAATAAAGTTTTCTTCTAACAAAGTCTAATTTCAATTGATTATTTTCTTGCCACACGTTAATCGAATCCAAGTTGACATTGGCTGGCGCTTGACAAATGAGTTTTCACGTTGCAGCTATTGTCTCCAGAGCCATTAGGCATTGGGCAGTGCACGGAGATAACTGTGCTCTTGAAATCGATGATGTCGCGCAGATCATAGAAATATATAATGACCCGAGGTCAGCCGGTTAACTTTAAGTGGTTGACGCGAGACGGACGAATGACAGCTAGCTCTCGCGATACATGGAATGACGTATCGATTGGCGCAACTCTTTACTTTCGCGCGGTATGATGTAACTCGAGCGAGCGAGCTGCGATTCCTCTGTATTGATAGCAAGCTTTCGATTATTCTGTTTTTTTCGTTGTCACCGTCGATGCATATTGGGGGAGCAAGAGAACGTCGGGTTGCTCGATTAAGTCTGTAGCGCTACACGCGCGTGGATGCTTTTTCGATACAGACGAGGAAAAAAAGCAAACGTTTACAAATACGAGTTTGGTCCGTCTGACCTTTACGTTTTTTACTACTTACAAATCGCAGCTTTTTTTTCTTCGGTACAATCTCGTTTTCAAGTTACAGTTTTTTAATTTTTGATTTATTTTTACTGGTGATATCCGAGCCCCACGTAGCGAACCGCGCTAAATGAGGCACAACGACGTGCGCCCGTATTAATTACGCGTGTGGTATTTAGAGCGTGAAAGCATTTTTGCCGAACTCGTGCATTGTGTTTTGTGTTTTTGTTTGATAAAACAATCGACTTTCGATTAAAATAAGTGAAACCGAAGTACGAGCGTCTCGAGAGACGCCATTTGCCTCCGCTGCACTGGAGCTGTCAAACTGATTTAACAATCAAATCGCAATAATAACGTATTAATCAGGAATAGCGAAGTACGAAGCGTATCAATAGATAGATATTACTCGTACTCTTCCACGGGAATTTTTGTCCGATCGCGTTTCGTCTGCATAAACGAGATATGCGTCATTTGGTTTGGGAGTTTCATTCGTTACGAGGATAAACCTCCAGTGCACATGGGATTTTTGCCTCCTGGTCCGCTGACGTCCAGACAAGTCGCATTATCAACTTTCATTTGTTTTTTTTGTCTTGCACTGTTGGCGCGTGATTATTCTTAATGATGTAACAGGGTCTTTTTTTTGGCCGATTTTTTGTCCGTCTGGAGCTATTTCGGATCCGATTGTAACCAGCTTCATCAAAAATTCTTATCGAACGTGCAATTACATCGTCGGCTTCGACATTTGTTCGCACTCACCGATAGGATACCGCGAAGCTCTCGCTGAAAAAGCGAACGATTATAGCGCCTGCAGCTTTTGCAGAGCTAAGAGCTCGTGTCATTTCCATGAAACGTACTTAGAATTGGAATTGTCGGCACGGCAACTGATTGCATTGAGAGATGATTGCAACGAAGCACACCTCTCCGCGCGACGCTGATACCGCCTGTCTCGATGGTACTTCCCGGAGCACAAATTGGGGTCCTGTCGCGCACGGACAAAGCACTGAAATCGCTGAAATATTCGTTTGCCGAGGATCATCGGCGACGATTATCTTCGCGGGAAAAAGGTCGAGTTGGACGTTGCAGGCGCGCGCAATTTAGCGCGAGAACAATACAGAGATGTGTTCCCGCGGTAGCCAATGTAATAGTCGTTTCAGGCAATTTTCGCGCGTACAACTGCGAGATTCAATTTTTCCAATGGATTAATCATCGACGCAGCGTCGGAGACCCCGGAGTCGGAGATGCCACAATCAATAACTGCAACGCAGAAGAAGAAACGGCGACCTATCGACGTTAGAGCCGCCGCCACCGCGGCTACCGCTACCGCTGCCGCTGCCGCCGCCGCCGCCGCCGCCGCCGCCGCCGCCGCCGCCGATGCTGCAAAAAAAGCGAAGTCGATCGCATTATGCAGCGCCTGGTACGCGCTCGGCGAGGAAATGGTCTCGCGCGTGCGTGTGGTGGCGCTTTCGCGAGCAGTTCGCGAGGAATCGCGCCGCGCTGCTGGCACCTCCTGTCGCCGCTGGGGCCAGCGGAAGGAAAGCGCGAGAAAAGCGGACAGGTAAGCTCGGCGCGCCACGCAATCGAAATGATCGGCCGTAAGAATGAAAGACGGCTATCGGCAGCCACGAGCGCGCGTGACCCATGACCGACCCCTCGTATCTCGTCGCTCGCCGGCTGTAGCTCTCGGGCACGAAGCGCGAGAAGCGCAGTTTCTATGCCGCTCGGCCAATCTACTAGTTCGATAACGAGAGAGCCGCGGCAGCGTAGCGCTCGATTCGCCTTGAAACCCGAAGCTGACCGCGAGCGAAGGCCAGGCCACTCCCTGCCTCCTGTTTCGCGGCCCGCCGCGATGCACGAGCGATGCGTGCCGCCGACACCGCCGCGGTGAACGGCGCGTGCGTCTCGTTTGAACCTCCGCGGCGACTGGTGAGATTTGGGCCCGGTCCGCTGCGCGCGGACGGCACAGACTCGAGCGACAATTGGCACCGGTGGTCGCCTCGTTCCTCTCGGCGAAAGCCTTGACCGCGCTAACGATCGTCGGGCAGGAGATAGACGCGGGGGAAGGAAAAATTACCGACGCGAGAGATAGAAACAATGGCAAACGCGCGCGCAGTGTAAACAAAGTAAACAAAGCCGCGGCCTGGAGCGCGGAGACGGCGAGCGCGGCGGCCGAGTTTATCGATACGCATCGGTCGGGGTATCGCGCGCGCCGCACGCCCGTCGTCCGCCCTTGGGACGCGTCCGTTATAACGAAGCGCGCCAGAGCTCCGTGGCCAAAGGTTGTCTCGTTGTCCTGACGGCGCGCGGGCGAATTCCAGCGAGGACGGACATCCGCGGTCGCGGGCGCCGGACGAGGAGATGCTATCGCTCTGCGGCAATTTCAGACGCTAACGAGCAATTTGTAGCGGCCGGAGGAGCGATGCGAGACCCCGATATACGCGCGAAGCGACTGGCTTTCGAAATCACCGCCAGCAGCTTTACCTATAGAGGCGCGGCTCGCCGACGCGCACGTCGCGCTAACGTGACACCTAATATCCACGCGGCGAAAGTATTGCGTCGCACGCTCTCGCGGCGAGTCCTGTTGCCGATTAGACGACGGACTCGGGGCAGAAGTGTCGCGCGACGACCGACCGCTTCGTTAGACATATCCGTAGAGAGCCCGAACCACGAGAAAAACAGTGGTAGAGACACAAACGAAAGGGCCGAGGCGATGGTTTTGCGTCGCGTCTAATGATTATTTATCGCTTCTATTGATCTCCGCGACGATTGCTGAGGGGAGCAGAGGAGGGGGGAGGGGCGCAACGACGCGCGTACGAGTGATAAGAAGCCGAGTGCAAAAAAACCGAGTAATGATTATTAACGTTGCGCAACGGCCACGATTGATTGAGATTTCAACGAGGAGCTCGAACTACCGAGTGATAGCGGCAAGATGGAGCGAATCCATGCTCACGGACGCATAGATGAAAAATCGCGCGATTATCGACATCGAGAAATTTCCACGCGCCATATTCGATGCGCGTGCCACTGGCGCGAGGCGCGAGGCGCGCACGACCTTCGAGGCGACAAAAATGTAGGGTGCGACGTTGGAGGCGCGGGCGAACACAATTTTTCGCGGCGAACTTCGACGAGAGAGAGGCAGGCCACCGTCGAAATCTCCTGCTGCGTCCGATGCACAGATTTCACGGCAACGCTGGCGCCGAATAGAGGCAGCCACATCCGATCACTCGCGAGCACGCTCTTGCATTGTGTATGCGTGTTTTGCATTGGCGTAATTATCTCGACAGGCGGTCATCGGCCTTCGATTAAAAATTCATTGTCTAGCCAACACATGCCTATGAGAAGTTCTATTTCCAACCTTGTTACCGATACACAATCGCTCGGGATGATTTTTCGCGCTGGATTGTACTTTGCACCGCTGCGGAACCGCGCGAGATAACTGGCGCCGGTGCCCGTGATAGTCTCGTGCACACACGTCAATTTTGCGCGCTTGGCTCGGCGCGCTTTTTCGCGGACTTTTTTTCTCAGCCGGCTCGAGCGGCTCCGTTGTCGCGATAAGCTAAGGAAAGAGATGCGCGTGCACAACTGACTCCATGCCAGTTTCTCTTGCGCTCAGTTCGTTGAGGAGCGCTGCTGGTAGCGCGATCGCGCAATGGACGTTCGGCCGTTGCGCGAATTTTCGTTTTTCTCGTTCTCGCCACGCGAACGACTCGCGGCAATTTCTTTTCCATGTGACACGAGTGACTTGAAAACGTTCCAAGGACTCTGGAACGTTGTCGGCGAAGCCTAATGCCGAAGAAGCCTGACCCGCGCGTATCGCCGAGCTCAGTCGGAAAATAGGCAGCGTTCGCGAAAATTCGACGCCCGACTGCGGGCCGCGAGGATGGCAAATGTCCAGGCCAGGGCTGTCCGAGCCAGTGTCCATAAATTCGCGAGGCGGAAAGCCGTGCAAAAGAGAGCGAGAGAGGGAGAGAGATAGGGAGGGAGGGAGGGAGGGAAGGAGCGAGCGAGCGGTACCTGCGACGAATAAGGGAGGGCGGAGAAGAACGTTTAACACGGCTCTCTCTCTCTCTCTTATCAGCGCCGAGAGCTGCGCAATCGCCGGCTGGTCTGCCGCTAGCTAGCACTCGCGTTGAAAAGCGCCGCCGAGGCGCGCGCCACGCAGTGTTTGGAGCGCGCGCGACGCGGATTGTCTACGGAGCGCGCCAAAGCTCCCAGCGGCCGCGCGAGCTTGCGACGATGTCGCCCGGAAGATTGTGCCCCGGTGACAGTGGCTGTCGGCCTGCTATCGTTGTCGCTGCTCTCGTCGATGCTGAATTGTGACGACGCTGTCGCGTGCGCAATTTCCCTGACAAGGCTACATACCGAAAACCTAGCGAGCTTGCGATCGCTTGTTCAACGAACTTTGCCGGCGAGTAAGTGACTGTCGTCTTATTTGCACCGGAACTCAATCGCGAGCGCGACTCGAGCTTTCTTCGTCGACGGTCTGGACCAAGACTGGAGCAACTGGAGCGTCGATTCGTCGCTCGCGGTGCATTTTTCTCGCCTGGCAGTGCAACGCTCGAGCAGAACGACGAGCCGTCGAGAAGGAAGGGGGGCGGAGAAATCGCGCTCGATTGATCTCTGAGAGTTCGGCAAGCCTATTTGCGACGCAATCGAACAGCGTCGAAAGATGTCGAAATACGAGGCGGCGCGGAGGCGAAGAGCGCGACAAGCGCGACAAGCGCGGAGAAACGCGAGGAATGCGGCAAGCGCGTGATCGATGTGCTATTCCTATGTATTTGGAGATTTGAATGGGGCGCCAAAAGCCGATCGCCATTGTATACTGTGCGCCTAGTATAGAAGTGACTTCCAATATAAACCGCGCGTCCGCTGGCAAATATTTACTTGCGCGAGACGGCACAGCGCGAAACGATTGTTCCGCGGACCGCGCGTAGTTCAGGATCAAAGTCGCGCTGTTTTTCACGTCTCCCTCGCGGTGGCGCGTGTTTGCCTTGGCTCGTTGAGTCACTCGGACCAAAGTGGTGCAAATAATTAAACGCTACCTACCGCGTCACTTATCCTCGAGGACTCGATGAGTAACTACTCTTGAAAAGCTCTGCGGTAATCCCCCCACTGCGCTACGCAGCTTTTCCGCGATTATTACGGCTTTTCCGCTATTGCACCAATTCCCGCGAACGCAATAGTAATTTTAAGTCATGCCGAGATTGCGTTAGTTGCGAGCTTAAATTTTATAAAACTTTCAAGAGTCTCGGCCGGTTATTGAATTATGAAAGCTCTGATATAGCCAGCTTTAACAAGTTTTATTGAGAAAACTTTCGACAAGACAACGGATCAAAGTCCATTTCTTTCCACAAGAGTGAAACTTATAATTTTTATTTTGGTGATGAAGCTTATAAACATTCCATGGGAGAAAAATGTTGCTTGTAGTAAATGTGTAGGAAATGTCGATTAATTTTTAAATTTCAACTACGGCCCGAAATGGAATTGCGTCGCTTATAATGCATATCGCATTTTGCTTGGATGACAATTTTCATTTCCTCGTTACAAGTATCTTTCATTTTCAGGACAAACCGCCATGCGAATGCACAATTTCTCCCACAGCGTACTTTACCTCACGACAACTTTTTCTTTTTCTTTTCCTTTGCCGAGTCATCCTTTTTCACCACCCTCTCTACACATTTGCATTTCTGACGTTTCTCCTCGAAAGCTAAAATTTTCCATTTTATACCCAACCCAACCCAACCCAACCCAACCCAAACCCAAACCCAAACCCAAACCCAAACCCCAATTCATACCCTCTGTCGTTTTGTAATTTTCATTGAATGCTCTTGGAATGCGAGTTTCTACAGAACGAAGGAAACACGAGCCAGCTTAGAATTAGCTTGGGTAAATTAATAAACAAGCTCTTATCGAGATACCACCCGCGCGCATATCATGCCATTATCTAGTTCAATATGTGCGCGAAGAAATTTCCTTTGCCGCAGTCGTTAGATTTCGAAAGCACATTGCCCATGGTATAATAATCTGAAAAACTAATGACATTGACTGTTGAAGCATTTACTGCTCGTGAAAATGTAGAAAATTTGTTTTCCCAACGGCGAAACAAATGTTCATCCAATAATTCCTGGATGTATTGATTGCCAATCAAATTTTTGAATGAGACACATGCTGGAACAGCTTGGTATGAGCAAATTGCATAAATACGTCCAACGGACTCCTGAATATTCTAATTTATTGAAGCGTTTATTTTCGAGCGTCTGTCGCGGTTTCAGTCAATCGTTTTCAATTATAGTTAACAAATCATTTCAAGCGGATTCACCCGCGTAATAGCCCGTTACGAATGATCAAACCAACAGAATTTTACGAGTCCTGTTGAAAAGTGATAGCAAATAAGAGCAGCCAAAGCCCTGAGAACCTGAAAACGATCATATTGTCGTTATTTGTTTTTTTTTTTTTTCAGGAAGCCGCACCAATTTCACCAGAATGGAGACGAGTTCGGTGGTCGACGGTTTAACGCTGGAGGATAACAGGAGCATGCCGTTTGTGCCATGGGATTTCAATGACGAACGCCTGACACCAGACATGCGTTTCAATGAGGGCCACGTTGTAAGTATTGTCACTTACAGCATCCTCATGGTTATCTCGTCGATCGGCAACATCACCGTTCTTGTGCTGCTACTAACTCGACGAGACAGCGCCCGCTCGAGGATCAACAATATGCTCATTCACTTGGCCATTGCCGACTTGCTGGTTAGTGACGCTTTATACTTTTCCATGTCTATTTCTGCCTTTATCGTAAAATCAACAAGGTCGTATAGTAGCGTCGTAGGTTGCTGGTACTTTATTGACGCATTGTAGCCGACGGCTTGCGTCGCGGATCAAACGAATAGACCTGAAAAAATTGTGTGCGAGTAAATAATCGATTCGCTGCGGACCAATTAGCGAATAAAAATTAACGCCGACGCTGTTCTCCATCGTCGTGCCAGCGATAACAGACACATACGATTGCATTGCATCGAGCTTCATCTTCCGCTCCGCGTGACATTCAAAGCAGATGCGTTGACGAGCGATAAATTCAATTGAACAGGCTGTCTGCTCGAGTGCTACTTGGCTGTCGCCGTACCTTTCATCGGGTTCGATTAGTCGTGCAATATAGCTCGTGGATTTTCGTCGTCATCGATGGCGGCGCGATCATTCATCGTAATTAAATCACGAACGAGTGCGTTCTCGCGTGCCGTGATTCAGTCAACGAGAGCCAAGAGCATCCCACGAGTTTGCCAGTAAAAATTGAAGGAACGCCAGTTCAGATGTCAATTATCGAAAGCGTATAATCGCCTAAGTCTGCGCTCGTCTCTCAGATCAGTCTCGTCAGATAATCGGCTGATGGAGAACTTTGTCGGCTGACTCGGCTTGTGCTAGAAAAATACAAAATAAGAGTCACTGGAGCGTCGGACTGCGCGCGCGCGCGCGCATGTTTTAGGTGACCTTTCTGATGATGCCGGTCGAGATTGGTTGGGCGTCTACGGTCACGTGGCGAGCTGGCGACGCCATGTGCAGGATATCGTCCTTCTTCAGGATGTTCGGCCTCTATCTGTCTTCCTTCATTTTGATTTGCATCAGTCTCGACAGGTGCTTGTATTCGCTATTTACTGGAATTTCAATTTCGAACGGTGCAATATTGGATTTTGCAATTACAACTAGAATTGCCGAGAATCATTAAGTTTCGATTGAAATTGACGGGTCATCGGTTGGAAGTAGGAGCTCTCAATTCGGGACAACGGAATTGATCGCAGAACGTTTTTTCCCAAGTAAATTCACGAGGATGATAACGATGCTCGTTTGCAGGTATTACGCAGTTCTGCGACCACTACAGATGCTTGACATCGACCGAAGAGGGAAGCACATGCTTACCGCCGCGTGGATATGCTCAGCTTGTTGTTCGGCGCCCCAGGTAACGTCTAGAAAACAGAGATAACGAACATACGGCCTTGCACCAGCGAGACAGTATGAAATACCGAAGCTCATCTTTCACCATTTCTCCGCTCGCTCTTTCGCCAACACATATCACGCGTGATCGCTTGTCCCGTGAGCCAAAAATACACCAGGACGAATCGTCCAGTTGAAAATGGTCAATCATGCCTTGTTTCTTCGCCGTTGCTCTAGATAGTAGTGTTCCACCTGGAGAAGCATCCGAGGATCACGTGGTACGAGCAGTGCGTCACCTTCAACACATTTCCAAGCTTCACCCACGAAGTCAGTTACTCGCTGTTCGGTATGATAACGATGTACTTCCTGCCTCTCAGCATCATAATCTTCTCCTACTGCAGTATTATTATCGAGATGTACAAGAGGTCTAGGGTCTCGGCTAACGGTGAGTGAGAGCTCTCCCCGTCATTAGCTTGGATAGCCTTCGGATTAATGCCTTGGCACTCGAGTAAACGTCTTACAAATCTTACCCTCTGAATCACCCTCGTTAATTCAACTGTCTCCGTCAACTGTTTTTTTTTTTTTTTTTTTTTTTTTTTTTCAAATCGCTTTTCAACTATCATACAGTCTTTTCTGATCAATACGCAGATGGCTTAAGACGCTCCTCGGTAGGATTCCTAGGACGCGCGAGGACGCGAACGCTCAAAATGACGGCAATCATCGTCACAGCCTTCATTATCTGCTGGACGCCCTACTACATTATGAGTATCTGGTAAGCGAACGTAAAATTGTTTCTTTTACTGTGGGTTCGTGGAGCCCGCATAATAGCTTCTTCCCCGGTATATCGGGTCTCAAGTATTCCGATGGCGTTGCTCCCTTTCCGCGCGCGCGTTCACGAGTAACGTTCGTCACTTGCGCTTTCAGGTACTGGTTAGACAAAGTGAGCGCAAAGAAGGTCGATATACGGATACAGAAAGCGTTGTTCCTATTCGCCTGCACGAATTCATGCGTGAACCCAGTCGTGTACGGCGCATTCAACATTCGCAAGTGCAATAAGGTAGGCTGAATGTTCACTCCGGCAGACAAAACAGTTTCATGCTTTCACTCTGGTTAATGGACCATTCGGCAGCTTAAACTTCACTCGGCATGTTTTCACACGCTAAATGTCCTGTCTCTCAGTTAAGCCACGTAACACTGATTAGCGCAGCACTCAAAACTAGCTTATCATTGACACCTCCTATACTGGCAGCGCCGTCAATCGCCGCTTCGACCGTCGAAAAAACTAACACTTCGCGCAACGCAGAATCGCTTGTAATTGTCCAGATCCAAACGTGTCTAACGACACACATATAACACATTGTCTTGTTTGGCGTTCACCATTGCTTTTCAAGTTAAAACCGTATTGAATGCATATACGCCTTGCGATAATTGGCTTCAAATTAATTGCATTGTACGTGACGTCTGCGTAACAAAGTGGTTAGCGGAACGATCAACAATCAAGTAGTAAGGGCAGGATTGTGTTGCTTTGATTATAGGCAGCAGTGCGCAGACCCACCATAGAAACACGAGAATCTCCACTGTCTGTCTCTCTCAGTTAGGCTATACTCGCAAGATGTATAACGCACGAATAAGAACCTTTAGAGCTGCACTTGCGGATATGCACGTGCTTTTGTAAATACGCTCGTAACTTCCCGAGCCTGAAAATAGTTTAATCGAGCTCGATACTCGTAAAAATATTAGAACACGGCTAGCTGAGAGTATGTGTGAGAATCGTTGTGTATAGGTATATATGGACGCTGTAATAAAACTGTCATTAGGAGGTGGAGGTTGAAACTTTCTTGCCGAGATCACACGTTAATAACGAGTGTTGCCGCGAATGCACGTAGTTTCTTCTTACACGCATTTTCCATCTACGAGCAATATCATCTACGTGTATAAGAAAGAATGAACAAACAGTGGCTTTCAGTGTAAATAGTGTAAATACAAAGTAACCAAGTAGCCAAGATCGTTCGAGGTGGTTGTACGTGGATTCGCACGATCATATGTCATTGAAAATCAAGCACTGCAACTAAATCAAAAAAAAAAAAAAAAAAAACAAAAAAGAAAAGCAAAGCACAAGCCAAATACGCACCAGTTGCAATAAAGTGAGTCTCTTCTTATAGGTGACCAGGAAATGGGACATACATAATCTTAAGTGAACCGAAGACTCTGGACTGCTACTAATAAATCGCAAGTTGTCACTGTAGAGATGCAAGCGAAATGTCTTGTTGTAAGCACGTAACGATGAATATTTATATGCCAAATGGAGAAGAGTTGTAATAGTGCGTGCCGCCGCTGCTGCCGTCGTCGTCGTCGCCGCCGTCGCCGCGAGTGACGAGGCGTATTGTAAGCGAATAAGACACGGTGCTCGGATGATTATTCTATATTTCTGCCTTCTCCTCCTTGTCAATGCCTGCGCGATGGTGACGCGCGCTACACTCCGCTATCTATTTACGGACGTGCCCCGTGTGTGAATCATCATTGCGCCGCGCAGCTCGACCAGCTCTCACACGGGTTGTGATACACCCGCATTTATTGCACAGACGTCATGTATCATTGTCTTATAAAATGCCATTAAAGCACGTTATCGCTCACCACTGAGTTTCTTTCATTTTCTATCCCTGATCCCTCGACTCTCGCTCTCTCGGCGCCTCTCGAACGTCCGTCGACCTAATGCGCGTTTTCCAAACATCTTCGGAACGCGCGAGCGTGTAGGCAGAACAGTTCAGTCGACACCGATAGCTCTGTACTCGAAAAAAGAAAAGTCTCGAGGAAGGTTTTCGATAAGAAAAGAAAAGGCAAAGGAAAAAAGTTTGACTGTGCGTGGAATCTGAAGAATCCGTAGCGTAAAGGCCAAAAGGCCAGTCGCGTATGAGACGAAAAGGATTCGAGCGAGTAGCCGCAAATCTGGCATCCTTCCAATGTAATCTACATCCAGTATTTCCTTCGGCAGGGTTCTCCGACACAACAGCTCTCGTGAAATTGAAAGATTTAGCATCTACGCCGACCTCTACGCACACGCGCGTTTCAAAAAGACATTACTCCTGTCGCCTTTCGAAGCCAGACCCGGCTATCACTTCACTTTTCAATTTTTCTCGGTAAACAGCTTCGTTTTTCGCTTTCGCGCAACTTTACGTTGGATAATGTGTTTTACAAGACCAAGTAGCCTGATGGACGGCGCGTGTAAGAAACGGCACTGTGGTCGGGAAATAAGCGAATAAGGGGAGGTGACATTTGAAAATCCAAAGATTGCTACGATTACACGTCTAGGGTAAAGTAGATAATTCCACTTGACTCGGTAATTTCCAGTTCAAATGAAATAGCCGCTGCAGCAGCGAGTTCAGCGTCATACAATTGTAATCATTAATATTTCTTCTACAAAATTTAATTTTCTCAACATTTCACTGTTCGCTTCAGTCAATAAACAGCAAGATTAACGTCCTGTTGGATGTGGAGTTTGTGTTTTTCTCTTTACCCTCTCGAATTAACTTGCTGCTGAAAAAAGCAAATGAGAATGTCTTGCGATTGAAGCCAGCTCAATAATAATCACTCTCACACACCCAAACACCGAGCACTTATAGACATCAGGCAGACGAAAAACTAACTGGCCGCGCTCGGGGTAAAATCCACCAATCGCAGTTCTTGTGTCTCTCATAGGGTTCGTCGTCGTCGCAGCCAATTATTTCTAGCAAAGGCTCGTCGAAAGAAGGCGGATGCCGCGTCTCCTGCAATCAGCCTTGTTCCAGTAGGTCATCCAGTCGACGGGTGCGCATCCAGACTCACGTCACGCTTATGCCCAGCGATAATCACGATACGTTTGCCATCGCTCTTGAAGACTTGGGCAAATGTAAGTCGCCTTTATTTCTCCAATTTCTGCTCTCATCAAAAATTAGCCAAACTTCAAAGTTGCGCTTGATTTCTGTTGCAGCAAGTCTGAGAAACAACGCAAACATGCTGTAGACGAGTGTCGGAAGTGTAGCCACGCGCGCGCGCGCGCGCGCGTGTGTGTGTGTGTGTGTGTGTGTGTGTGTGTGTGTGTGTGTGTGTGTGTGTGTGTGTGTGTGTGTGTGTGCGTAAGACAGAAAGGGAGAGAGCGAGAAATTAGTAAATTGTCATTTGTATCAAAATACTCGAGCGACGTACTTGTGCGTAAATGTATAAGCATCGTGGTAAATAGGGAAGAAAGCTCGCGCATTGGAATCGCATTAATCTCCGTGGCAACTGGTGTCGCCGTGTGGATAAACAGCGTCTTCACTCCAATTCTCGAACAATTCAATGACCGTGCGCCATCAGCAACAAGAACAGCGACAGCAGCCTTATCATCGTCATCTTCGTCGTCGTCGTCGTCGTTGTCGGCAGCCTCCCTGCCCCACCCCCTCGCCTAATGCAAGAGCGCAACGCAGTCGGCGTCTCATCGCGAACAGGTGAGCTCTTGGATTCGCGTATTGCAGCGACAAAGCGGCACGATCGTTGCAATTGGACTTCGAAGTCCGGCTCGGCCGTTTGACTCGCGGCAGCAATCGAACGACGCGTCGGTGTAATGCCGCGTAAGAGGAAAAGGTGCCGAGCGCAAGATTGGAACAGTGCAAATGCTTCGCGAAGGCATTGTGAAAAGTGGCCAGATCGACGTGGCTTGGTTTGCGCAACAATCGACGATGGGCGTATGATAATGTAAATCGCGATGCAAACGACGTTTGGCACTGTTACGAGCGCACCGTTACCGGTGCAGCTCGCTCCGTCTCGCGCTCTCGTGGGTGTCGCGACTGCCTACGCGCTCGGGAGGGCGAGAGATGGCAAGGTCGAGCAGTTCTAATTTCTCGCGCTTACCCGATTATAGTTTCGCGCGCCACGCCGCTCTCCGTGACTCCGTGCAGCTGCAGCGCGAGCTACGTCGCCTATGCATATGCATGTCGCGCGCACAAAGACGTTACGCGGATCCTCGCGGTGCGAGGGTTTAACATTGACATCCATTTTCATTTTTGACGCGTGGCATTCTCATTGGTCTCTTGCTCGGATTATTCACTCGTGGGGCGACAACGCGTTTCCGAGGAGACTGCGCCGGGACGGCAAGCGTACGACGCGGCAGCGCGTTCGTCGAGGCAAAGTTGTTGACGAGTCGCCCTCCGGAGCTTAATGATCTGTCTCTCTCTCTGGCTGTCGCGTTCATCTTCCTACTCGGCTCGTAAAAAAGCCCAATCGCTTCCGATAATAGAACCGATGTCACTGAACGCTGCCGCGCGCGTAGCGACTCGACTTATCGCTTCGTACTCGCACGTGTACAGGCGCTCGCTCCTTCTTTTGATCCCGAGCGACCGCGGGCGCGAGACTCGTATCGAGGCGCTGTATCGCAAGTCTCTTATGTCGACGTGTTTGTGCTTGTCGCTGTAATCGGTTTGGCATATTCTTGGGAATGCGAGCTACGACAGAACTGTGTTGCTGCGCGTGCCGATTTACATTTTCATTCTACTTGGCGTTCATCGCAAACGTGGCGCGCCAGAGAAAAGAACTCTCATGGATCGCCGCGCTCGATAGGACGTAACCGGATGGCACGCGCTTGGTCGTGAGCGCGAAATACGAACGGTCCGAAACGGCGTGTTGGCGTGTTGGCGAGTTGGCGAGTTGGCGGCAAGTCCGCAAGTCCGATGGGCGGCCGAAAGCTCCGCGAGAGGGAGAGCACCACGTCGGAGAGCAGAGAAGCCGATGCCGATCGACCATTCACAAAAATAATCTGGCTCGACGGCGTGACGCGACAAATCCGGCCTCGGGCCACCGGCTTGGACGACGAGGCGTAAAAACTTTCACCCCGATAACCGAAATACTCGGGCGGCTGTGTATGGGGCCGAGCGAGTCGGGGAAAGAGGAGGACAAGCCGCCGAGGTAGAACGCGAGGCAGCAGGCCGCCGCAGGCACGCGCCTCGGAAAAACAGAGCAGTCTCACGAGTTTTGAGTGTAAAGGGGGGAAGGGAGGAGCGTGAAAAAGGAGCGAGCGCGCTGCTCGTGTGGGCGCCGTATAAAACTGCCGCGAGCCGGCTAAACGCGCTCCAGTGATCGCCAGTGGCGAACGGTGAGCAGAGAGTCGTCTCTCTCACTCGGCGCGCGTCTGTGTGCGTGTTGTTGCACTCGTCCCGACGGACCCGCGCATTCCTCGTATCCAAACAGACCACGAGACAGAGAGAGAGAGAGAGAGAGAGAGAGAGAGAGAGAGAGAGAGAGAGAGAGAGAACAATAAGACAGAAACGGAACGACCGAGCAGTCGCACGCACGGACTTTTTTTCCCGAGGCACCCGCAGTCGCGCAGGCTAAGCTCAGCAAGGTGCGCGCAAAAGCTTCAATCCGTATCGCGGACTCCTCGTCCGTTATCGTGCATTATTTTTACCCCGTCGACTTCTTTCTAATCGTCCTCCACTCATGGTGTTCAGGGAGAGGGTCCTCACCGAAATTTATCTCTTGCTTCTCACACTATTACTGTGTTTTTACGCTTGGCTTTACTATAGTTTGTACGGAGTGTTGTTTATGTCACCTTATCGCTTGCAAAAAAAAAAAGGAAACGAAAGTGCGCGCGCAAGATAGACGCATACGTGGTTTACTTTTCCCTCGCGTTCTCTCACCAGTGAATTTATTATTCTTTAGTGTTGTGCAATACAGTCTAGTCTACGAGTGCTCGATCTAATCGTCTCTTTCGCTCAAAGTGACTTTCAATATTTAAATAGAGATATTTCATGTTTCAGTGAACGAACCGAATTTCATTCACATTGTAAAACTTATTTTTTATCGAAACCAGAAAGAAAACAGTGAATTAATGCGATGTGACTATCATTATGTAAAGTATTTGACGACGGTAGCTATTAGTAAAACTACTTAGTAAGAGTCTAATATCCGCAAAGTATCTCCGAATCACGACTATCGATCTTTTTTCGCTGCCTCTTCTCGTCTCTCTCTCTCTCTCTCTCTCTCTCTCTCTCCCTAATTTGCCGAAAAGCGAGAAAAAAAGATCAAAGTACGAAAAATCAATGACGTTAATTTTGGGTGCAGATCGGGCGAGGGCGGCAATCAACATGCGAGGCGTCGCTACGTTCCTCCTCTTCGTGGCGCTCGCCACTATTTCTAGCTCCAATCTCTCGCCCGACGAGGGTAAGTAGTCGACGATCTTCGCCTCACTCTATCCGCTATTTTCTATTTTTCTATATTTACGCGCGCGGCCACGTTTAAAAATCATCACAACGACGCCGGCACACGTGGTGACGGGACTCGCCGAGCTTGTCAGTCACGGCTCGCACCATGCGCGCGCGCAAGCTCGCCGCATCCGAGAATAGAACTGAAAAGCCGCGCGGGCTGCGTCCGCGAGCAGGTGCCGTGCATCTCTGCGCCGTGTTTCTTCGTCACATACGCTTTCTTTCTTCGAGAGGGAAAGCCACGTACCGATCACGCGCTGCGATCCGGCCGCGTCCGGATTTAGACGGGAGGATCCGTAGGAAGGCGCCGTAACGCTAGCGTAAACAGCGGGCAAAGCATCGCCACGGGTCATCAGCCTGCGTGCACTCGAGCGAGCGCTTGCCGGTGGCTGTTGCGCCTGATCGCCGTGGCAAATCTGGGAATCGACGATTGCGCGTCGTCGGGCATCGCGATCATGGCAAATCCGCCCGGTGGACGAATACCCGGTAGCCACCAGTTGATCCGCGCGGGCGCCGGGTCAACCAACTCGCGAAGCTCGACGCCATACAGCCTGCCGCGTTCGATTTATTTCAAACTTCCTCGTATATTTGGCATACATAATCGGTTTATTTTTAAACGTTCGCTCGACCGGAGCGACATTATTATTACTATTACAGGAGCACATCGACAGCAGAATATTAATGTCGATCAAATCTCGAAAAGTAAATGTTTTGTATCGACCACTCAGCGGGAGATTATAATTGCTACGGTTCGACGAAATACACCGAGTGACTGACCCGACTTACGTGGAGCAGCTTGTTTCACGCTCAATTACTCGAAATCACCAACGCGTTTCAATTCGATTTATAGCAACGCGAGCCCTCTCTCTCTCTCTCTCTCTCTCTCTCTCTCTCTCTCTCTCTCTCTCTCTCTTTTCTCCGTTTTGTAGTCATCTTAATCGCATCTCTTTGTCCGCTAAAGAACACCCCGTGAAAAAGGCACTATGCTTTATTTGACTCGCGGCTGACATATTCTGACCGTTACTACTGCAGCGAGCGCTCATTGTGTTCGAAAATGAATTTTTGAAGACGCGGTGATCGCGCGACCGCGCGTTTAATACATCGCTACAATCGACCAATATATTAACAGGTCTAACGAGGAGCTTGGAAAGCGCGCTAAGAGATGACAAATTCGCCATAACAGTGAGTCACATAAAAGCGAGGAAGAAACTAACGAATGGAATCGAGACCCTTTTCGCGGCCGGGTACTTTAGCTCTAAGTCGAAGTTTGTGCTGATGATCGATCGCCGATCCAAGCGAGGTAAGGAAACAAACAGGGTATTCCCTGGCGGACGAGGTGGACGCACACAAATCGACAATCAAACACGAGCGAGCGCACACGGTGATGTTTACAGTGATACTAGAAACGGTGGACGAGAATCAGCGCCGTCGTGAGCACATAGTGGCCGACAGTCTAAGCGTGCAGGAGCCTCTCAAGAGTCTAATATTGATGGTAAATCAACGTAGCGGCCGCGTGGAGGTGTACGTGGACTGCGTACGCCAGGGCGAGATACCACTGAAAAGCAGTCTCAGACAGATGGCCGCCCAGGCCAAAGGCTCGCCCTTGGAAGTGGTAAGAACGCAGCTCTCTACGCGCAGCACCTTTATTTCTCACTCGGGCTCCGTCGCGTGGTAAGAACGCTCTCGTTATCCGATAGGCCGTTGTCCACGTAATAAAGTAGGATTAACGAGCCACTGCCACTCGATTCGTTATCTCATCTGTTTTCCACTCTCTCTCTCTCTCTTTCTCTCTCGCTCGTGTGATGGTGGATTTTGTTTCAATCGCGAATCTGGAAAACGAGACGCGCAGCCGAAAAATCCACCGAGGCGACAAAGCGAAGCACGTCCCCGCACCTCTTGGCGCAACAAAGGAGGACGCGGGCGCTGACGGCTCGCGAGATTTTCCCGCGAAGCTGCCGCCGTTGCGCCAGCGCGCACTAATTGCCGCGGCATTATTCTCATTGTCGAGTCGACGGGCGCCACCTGCGAGCGCACGACGACTTGGTGTCGCGAAGCGAGCGCACTGCCCGTGGGACGAGGTCTCGCCAAATATGGCCCGAGCGTGTAGGTACACGCGCGCAAGGTGCACTTGCCCAACGACGCGCGCGGCTCGCTGCGGCATTGCGCTCGATCCGTCTCGCGTTCTTGCCTTTTCTCTCTTCCACGGTATCCTTTGCCGATCTGCGGGTTCGTCGAGCTACTCTCTCTCTCTCTCTCTCTCTCTCTCTCTCTCTCTCTCTCTCTCTCTCTCTCTCTCTCTCTCTCTCTCTCTACCCCGGCTTCATTCGCGTCTCGAACGAGAGCGAAAGGACACGCGTTTCGCGCGCGCGCCGCTGGCCTTTTCTGCCGCGGATGCTCGCTAGTTTTGTATAGACGCGTTCTCACGCGACTCGCTTCTTCGCTCGCTCGCTTGCATCGTCGCCACTTGCCTGGCGCGCCTTCAAGATCACTGCCGAGCTTTCGTTCGACATCCGCGATGCGATTTTTGCAAAAACCTTTTCGTACGTTTCGAGTGAAATAGCATTGCCGTAATTGAGCTAGAGGTGGGTCTACCTCTCCCTCTCGGCACGACAACCCGGAGCTTGACAAGCGAAAAAAACGAAAACGGCCCACACTCTCCCTTTAGTTATTTTTATTCGCTCTCCTCCCGTAAGCATTGGTAGCCGCGCGATTTCCGAGATAATTCTTGCGTCTCGCGCAGCCGGAATTTATTCGCCGGATTACGATGCGCGAACATGTGCGAGGGTCGACAAATATTTACACTGCGTGGATCTCATTCGACGCACAAAATAATAAAAAGCAAGCGACGGCACGGCCGAGCGAAGCAACGGAAATATCTCTCGTTCTCGCTCCTATTTCCCGTTTGCATAATTGGGCATGACGAAGCGTCGACCTGATTCGAATAATACGCTCGGCCCTTTGGGCTATTCTAGAAATAATATGCGTGAACCCGTCACAGCGAAAGGTGCTACAGTAGAACTTTTGATGGAAATATCAATTATCCGGATAATGCAAAGCAAACACGACAAGCACGAAGGTTAGCGTTATTTGAAGTGAAAGTTCAACCAGTGGGAGGATGTTGATCTTTATCTTTTCGCATCTCGTTACGAACGTGACACGGTCCGCCCTGGCCGTGGACTGTTGCAGGAGCGATCGATGCGCATTCGAACGTCGCCGAGCGAATGGCGAATGGAGAAAGAGAAAGAGAGGAAAAAAGCGCCATTCCTCTTCTGCTCCGTATACGTTACTCAAGCGTGACGTATATTACAATACACATGTCCATTTGTCGAAAGTATACGAGTTTCAGCAGCCTCGTCGTTCAGCCGCCGGGCAAATGGAACAGAGAGAAAACAAAGAAGAAAAACACTTGTTCTCGCCTGGTTACAGTTGCGCGAGCGCCGCTACCGGACGAAAATTTACGGGGCCGAGGAGATCGACGAGGCGCTGCGCAACGAAAATTGCCGGACCACGCTGCACGACGTGGAGCAGTACCACCGCAACGCGAGCCTCGGCACGAGGGTGAGGCGCCGAGGTGACATCCCCGGCGAAATCCCCCTCGTCGATCCCAACGGTATGACGTCGACGCGCGCACTTCGCGAGCTCGCATGCTCATACGTCGCGCTTTCGTTCGGACAGGTTGCTTCACTGACGAGCTCATGGCCAAAACCCTCAATCTGCTGATCGACGCCGTGAAGAAATTGTGGACCAAATGCGACATGAACGTGAGTATCCGGGCGGGCCAAGTCCAGAGTCGTAGCGACGCTGGGTAAGGCTGAGAAATGACGTTGCAGTTGGCGGAGACGAAGCACGTCCGCGAGCTGATCGAGAGCTGCGTCGCCTGCCGCGAACGACCGACGCGTAAGTTTGGCAGAGGCTGCTCGTCATACGCGAGAGCTCGCATAGACGAGAGTCGCTAACCGTGACGCGTGATTGCAGCGCCGCCACCGCCGCCGCCGCCGCCGCGCAGCTGTCGATACCAATCGCCGTGCTTCCCGGGCGCGGAGTGTCAAGACACCTCCAGCGGCCCCAAATGCCTGCGCTGTCCCTCGGGCTACTACGGCGACGGGCGCAACTGTCGCAGATATCCCAGCTGCGCCGATCGGCCGTGCTTCGAGGGCGTCGAGTGCGTCGACACCCCGACCGGGACCACGTGAGTATACACTTTCGTTGTTCGCCCGTCTACGAACTGCGCACGGCTTCACATTTCCGTTTGGTGAGTTTGGTGAGAACGAGTGCCGATCGTGGCCAGAGCTTGGATCGCACGCCCTTGGACTTCGGCCTCCGACCTCGTCGTCGGAGCTTCGAAAGCGCTCGCGGTTATCCGATTGCTCTGACAAGCTGTCGCAGGAAAAGTTGTAACGAGGCCGGCGTCACATCACCGAGGCCAAGGATCGCTTGCTCGCAACGCGATGTCAGCACGTCGATAAGGGTAGCCTCGTTGTTGCGCCATTTATCCAAGCTTCATTAGGAGGGCGGGCGCGCGACGAAAAGAAAGAGAGCTGCTTCTGTCGAGCCCTCCCCTGGTCTTCGCCTGGTCGCGAGAGCGGACCTCTCTCGCTGGGAAGTAGGCCAAAAGCACGAGCCGTATTCGGTTGATCTTCGCCTGATCAAGGCTACGCACGCGTGGGAGAACAATCAAATCTCTCATAAATGACCTCGGCTTTGCTGCCAGCTGGCCCGAGACGATCGGCAGACAACCAGTCGGCAAACTGGACGACGGAACGTCACGTCCACGAGCTTGGTGCGAGCTTAGACGGCATCGGCGTTGCTCTGATTGCAGTTGCGGGCCATGTCCTCGGGGCTACACCGGCAACGGTCAGCACTGCGAGCGCATAAACGGCTGCCAGCCCAACCCTTGCTTCCCGAACGTGGCCTGCGCGCCGATGAACGTGCCACCTTATTTCCGTTGCGGTGGCTGTCCAGCCGGCTACAACGGCAACGGGCTCAACTGCCTCAGAGAGGACGAGTGCGACCTTGCCAAGCCGTGCTGGCAAGGCGTTAGATGCTACAAGTACGACAGCGGATACAGGTTAGTGCTTCCAGTTTTCTCGTTTCCTTCACAGGCTCGCACTTGTCTGTTCGCAAATCAACCACTAAGCTTTTCTTTCTTTCTTTCTTTCTTTCTTTCTTTCTTTCTTCCTGCTTCCCGGCAAAACTTGTGCGACCTCGAGTTCATACAGTACGATATATCTTATGTAGCTCGTGCACTCACTTTTTTTCGAAATATTTCGAAAATATGCATTTTCGTAACTGACAAAACCGTTATGTTCGTCGTTCGTTACATGCTTCGTAATGCAGGAAACTAACTAACGATATCGCAAAAAAATTATTGGAAGAGACAAGTTATTTGAACTACCGATGGCAAACTTATTGCAGGTAGTTATTATGAGTTTATGTGACTTTGGTAACCATTAATTAAGTATCACACATTAGTTGATCCACAGTAATTCGAGCCATGTTTTTGTGCACAATAGTTTCACTAATAACTAGAAATAACTAATGAGATGAAGCGTTATAAACATAACGTAGATTCATTATAATTAATTGTTTTATTATAAACACATATCTGTTCAATGCATTCAAATAGATTTACCTTCGCACACACTTTTTTGCACACTCAAAGAGCCATAGCCGACACAGTGCTGCATGACCATACTCGTACACCTGATGACTTAATATCTATGCACAACAAACAAAATGAATTTTTCTTTTCGCGCTCTTTAAAAGCTTACAACTAGAGTCAGACAAAGACAAGCAACATGACTTAACGAAAAAGTAAGTTTTCGTTGGAAATATGAAATATGGAAATATGAAAAAAATGGGATTTGAAGAAAAAAAGAAAATGAAAAACGCACGCGCATCAATCCCGTTACAATAAGAGTACGATCTAGTCCCTCTTCAGATTTTGCATATCAGCGAGAAGAAACGGAATAATAATGCAGCATCATGTTTTTCATTGAACAGATGCGATGCTTGCCCAGAGGGAATGACTGGCAACGTGTCGGAAGGCCGTGGTGTCGATTACGCCTTGACCCATCGCCAGTGGTGTTACAGGATTGATCCGTGTGGTGACAACAACGGCGGCTGCGTCGACAATTCGGATTGCTTCAACTCCGAGGTGACTTGCACGTGAATTTACAAAAAAAAAGAAACAAAAAAAAAACAAAAAAAAAACAAAATTAAATAATAGTGATCGTGCTTGGGACTCCTTCCCGAGTTTCCAGAGCTAATTTTACATTTGTAGCGTGCCTACGATTTGATTTTGTGTCAGGTACAGATGTCAGAGTTACCGTGCATTTCACGATTACCAAGCCTGAAAGTAATCTAAACCCACCCTGTGTAGTCGCATAATATACACGCAACAGAGATATGACACACTGCACTTACACCATACAAACCACATTTATAGTTAGATTGTCATAATTATTATCGGAATCTTTCTACATCTTCTTTCTGTATGAGCGCCAGCGCCTTTTTTATTTGTAACTTGTATTTTTTCATGAGACAATAATATATCTGCATTATTGATGTATAGTGTACGAAAAGGAAAGAAAATCTTGGGTCATTTACTGTTTCTTTATTCTTCCTCACCACACTCTCGATCCTCATTATTTTTTCATCTACAAGGTACATTGGGGTAAGTTTCATACTAATTCGGGATAATACTTGTCTCATCGATATCGCGAAAAACCGTTTGCACGTGAAAAAAAGATGCAGTCCGTGGAGTTTCATTTATCTTATGAAAGTGCCTCAATCGACCTCGTAGCTTAATTTTTTTTTCGGAGGGGAAGTTTGATACAAGTTAAACGACTCATCATAAATGCTCTGTAATTGTTGCTCTGGCGTTCTTGCGGAAAATCTGAGTAGTTCTAGTAAACAATTCGTAATGTAAGACAAAGAAAAAGAAGTCGTCAAACTTGCACAAGTTTCCCTCTGTTCTCTCTCTCTCTCTCTCTCTCTCTCTCTCTCTCTCTCTCTCTATCTATCTCTCTCCTTTTCACTTAGTCTCGCTCAAACCACATACAAGTTTTATTAAATGACTACGTCGACAACTGGTGTTTTTTGTAAAGTTGATGCTAACGAGCAATCGATTGACCGTGTAAGAGGTGAATAACTTTGTCCGAACGACAAGAACAGAACTCGAGAGGAAGCGAAGCATCTCTGGCGTAGCATTCATCAAGCTCGCAATGCAGCCTTATCTTTCCCTTCGCCGATTTCTTTTTCTCTGTCAACAATATGAAGATTGTACACTCTTCTACTTCTTCTTCTTCTTCTACTTCTACTACCACATTAGTAAAGCGATTATAGCCAATTAAAAATAATAAGTGGAAAAAAAGCCGAGACTCGTGCAATTATTAATGGATAAAAGGAATTTTCTCTTAGGGTGTAGCCAGATGCGGCTCGTGCAAGACTGGCTTTGTCGGCAATCAAACAGTAGGATGTCATCCGAGTCCTGACATCTGCCCCGACGGTACCACCAGATGCGACCCACATGCTGACTGCATTTGCATCGCCGTTAACCAATACTCGTGCAGGGTAAATGAAATGCTCGTTAACGACCAGAAATCATAACGCTTTTTTATAGCATTCATACACTAACGGTGACATGCAATTTTTAGTGCAGTGTTGGCTGGGCTGGAGATGGTAAGATATGCGGTATCGACTCGGACAGCGACGGCTATCCGGACGAACCGCTCGATTGCCAGGACATACGCTGTCGAGCCGACAATTGTCCGAAAACCCCAAACAGCGGTCAAGAGGATGCTGATGGCGATGGTCAGGGCAACGCCTGTGACGAGGACGCTGATAACGACAATGTACTCAATCTATCGGATAATTGTCCCTTGGTGCCAAACAGCGACCAAGCCGACAGTGATCGCGAAGGCCCTGATGACGTTGGCGATGTATGCGATAATTGCCCTTACGTAAAGAACAGAGATCAGCACGATACCGATAATGATGGTCGGGGTGATGCCTGCGACGATGACATTGACAATGACGGTGAGTGTTCAGAAAATAGGACTCAAAATTGACGTTTGAAAGGAACGTTCACCGCTTTGTTCATTAGGTGTGCCGAATGACGAGGACAATTGCGTTAAGACTTGGAATGCAGATCAGATGGACACCGATCGCGACGGCATTGGTGACGTTTGCGACAACTGTCCTCGAGTGCCAAATCCTGATCAAGCTGACGATGATGGTGATCGAGTGGGTGATGTGTGTGACAATAATACCGACAGAGATAAGGATGGTATTCAAGATGACATTGACAATTGTATCAACGACCCAAATCCCAGTCAAACGGATTCAGATAATGATGGTATTGGTGATATATGCGACGACGATGCCGACAACGATCATGTTCCTAATGATCGTGACAATTGTCCTTATGTCCACAATCCTGATCAAGTAGATCTCAACCGTTAGTACAGGATTCCTTGCGTTTTGCACCTTCTTTCAACTTCGTTATTAAATGTATTTGACGTGGGAATGGAATAATTTTAGGAGACGGTATTGGCGACGCCTGCTACGATGATAATGACAACGATAAAGTTGCCAATCTCATCGACATTTGTCCAAATAATAGTCGCGTCTGGGCCACAGATTTCCGAAAGTACGACACCATCGCCCTCGATCCCTATGGGAAAACGCAGGAGGATCCAATTTGGGAAATTCATCATAATGGCTCGGAAATATACCAGACTATGAATAGTGATCCAGGCATTGCTGTTGGTATGAAATACTATTTAATATCATATATCCGAGAAATCTGAGAAATTCAATTATTCACCTTGTTGATATTATTATATTTTCTAGGTTTGGATAGCTTCAGCGGAGTAGACTTTGAAGGCACGTTCTTCGTCAATACAGATATCGACGATGACTATGTCGGTTTCGTATTTTCATACCAAAATACTCGTCAATTCTACACTGTTATGTGGAAGAAAGTTTTACAAACATATTGGGAGCCAAAACCTTTCAGGGCTGTCGCTGAGACTGGTATTCAATTGAAACTGGTCGATTCCAAAACTGGTCCTGGCGAAATTATGCGCAATAGCTTATGGCACACTGGAAATACGAGGGATCAGGTTAGTAGAGATATGAACGTTAAAAAAAACATTTTTTTAAACGGGTTTGATTGTATGTATACAATTATTTTCTTGAAAACATAATTGTTTTATGAATCGTCAAAAGAATCCATAGTAAAAATATTATTTATTTTACTACGGAAGCTGAAGCAATGTATTCACGACGACGTCTCGCTTGAAAGCAACAATAGGTCATCCGCGCGTAATACATTCCATTTATACTTCAATGTAACAATGCATCTCTAATTAATCACATTCTAACTAATGTCAAATTTAATTGTGTGCAGCAAATGGAACATGCTGTTTGTGATTAATTTAATGATTCTAATGACGGTTCACATCATTTAGAATATTGAATTGAGTGTGACGGTAAGTCCGTCAATCCTTTATATTTATAAGTAACATTTCAATCACATTGCGATCATATCTCTGACCCTTTTCATAGTATCTGTTTGATGTTTATCACCTTGCCAGCTTTACGCTTGAAGAGAGTCAGAGATATAAATCTAAATATGACCGAAACATTGCTGTTTCATAAATAAAAATTTGATAAGGATTGGTAAACAAAACATTAATTCAAACAGCATCTGTTTAGATCATTTGAATTTAGACTTAAATCACAAACAGAATATTGTATTTATTATTTGGATTGCCAAATACTTATTCTTTATCCTAGAGGGTGCAAATAATATAATGGGCATTTGAAACTGTAAATAAAAATTTTCAGGTAAAACTATTATGGAAAGACCCGCGTAAGGTTGGCTGGAAGCAGTATACACCGTATAGATGGCGATTGATCCACAGGCCAAGAATTGGACTGATTCGTTTGTGGATCTACGAAGGCCAAAGACTGATCGCCGATTCCGGTAATCACTTCGACTCAACCCTAAAGGGTGGAAGACTCGGTGTATTTGCATTCTCTCAGCAGATGGTTCTCTGGTCTAATTTAAAATACTCGTGCAAAGGTAAGGGCAAATGAATAGTCAATAATATCGAGTAATTCAACTGTTTATTGAGTTAACGTCGTAATTGTTGAGTGTTACGAGTGTCTGGTTTAGTGAGCTGGCCCAACATTAACGATGAATTTCACGGGTATTTAATGTGTATCCTGTGTGTGTGCGTGTCTGTTGCAGAAACGGTGTCTTATGAGGTATACCGCACGCTACCCCCGAACATACAGCCGCTCGTGCACACCGACTACAATCGTCCGTGAGTGACATTGATGCGCATCGAGAGACGTCTCACAGTCACGGCCGACATTTTATTTCTTTTTCTAGTTTTACTCTTTCTTAACTTCCTGTATAGCACCACGCGAATCCTGCGGAGCTGGACGTAGACACGTACATATGACGCTCGCTTCTCTTCGCTGATCGCGCTCGACAAACAGATAAAAGTGGTGAAGATTGTGCACGGGCAGACGAACGAAACAAATTCAACGCAAAGCTTTCCGGGATATTATGTACATTTATGAACGACCAAGTAAAGTCGAATATGTTTTTCTTTTTGTATAGATTTAAACGATTCGACTATATAGAGAGACTAAATACACGTGCGACGTTTTGTCAAATAAATTTGAAAGGACAACGAAGAACGTGCGACGGGAATGTGTTTCGCTCTCTATTTTCTTCTTCGTTACTGTAATTAAACCATACGATATAAAAAGAACGACATTGTATAATGTTAAGAGGAATCGTTTGGTGTGGCACAAGTGCATTTTTACGAATGATATAATAATTTTATTTATTTGTAATCGGTAGCCCGATCAGACATTAGACGAAGATAAATTGTTTATTCGTTTACAGTATCATTAGATTTGAATCTGCATGATTTGTATGTTGTCGCCTCGCAAGCGGCGTAAATATTTTTATTGTTTGTTTGTTTCGTGTCCTTTTGTAATAATCTGCTACGTTTAATGGAGAATTCGCAGTGTTCGAAATTGACGCAGACAGTCTTCTTGCAACGCTTGCTCCGCTTGTGACAACAAAATTGCGTAGCTTGAGAAAATATCGACGAAAGGAAAGACAAAACAAAGGACAAACAATTATTATTTTTTTCATTGCGCTTCTCCACGAAATCAGTCGTTCTATGTCGTCACTTTAGGTTTAATTACAATTAGTCAAGGGTTAGCAATTTAGAATTGGCCATCCCTCCGTTTTATGTTATATTTTGTTTACGGTTACAATCGTACGCGGCTTTTCAAGTCGCGCGCTGCTGCGCGTCGAAAAAGTCTGCTCTGCAATTATATATATAATTTTATATATATATATATATATATATATATATATATATTGTTATTCTTCTTACATACGTTTTTTGCTTGATGCTACATTTTTATTTTCTCATTTTCTCATTTTCGTTCATTTCATTTTCTCATATAATTGGAATTTTTGTTCAATTTCTTTTCTTCTAACCAACTTGAGCGATGAATAATATAATATTGTTTTATACGTACATACATGCATACATATGTATGTATATATGTACGTATAAACAATCTACCGGAAATAAATAATTAATGGTAACATTTGTATTTTTGCGCTTAACTATGTACACTAATATCGATTTGTATAATCGAAATATTTTCTTGTATCGTTTTTGTCTTGAATTAGGATGCTTGCACTAACGTCCACATTAATGCGACTGCACAAGATCGGAAAATCGTCGGTGCACCTTTGGATAAGACGAGCCAGTCGTCTTGTAATTTCAACGAGGGTGCCTGGCAGTGTTCACACTTACATCACGATAAATATAGATATATTTTATATATTTATATATGTTTTTGTTTGTTTGTTTTTGTATTTAGGCAGTCGGTCGAGTTAAAGCTTTTTTTCTCATTTTCTCACACGAGATCGGCTGTTACGTGTATGGGACTGGAAATGGCATTAAAATTAATTCCGAACTTTAGTACAGACAACCAAGTGTATTTGTATAAATAATTGTTGTATAACTTAGATAGACAAATGCATCAGGTCTGATGAAGATGTTGATGTGCCTACATCTACTATATTGTATTAATAACATATCATGACAAGAATTATATAGCAATTTGTATTGTGTTAAAATCCAGTAATAATAAAACAATATTTTTTATTAAAGACGGAAGTTAATTTCTTACCGTTTTCAGTCTCTTCCATGTATTTTTTTCTTTTTCATAATTACATATTTATTTTGTTTGCATTATTACCGAATAAAATATGCATTCACACAGACACAATGACGTCGTTCATTATTCTCTGGGCGTCACATTTTCTCTGGAGACTTTCACCGATTTCTCGTGTCGATATTTTTATTGATTTTCTTGTTTGAAAAAAACTTTTGATTTCGATACACAAGTTAAATAACAATTCTGTAAGTCTTAAATGACATATGTTAATATGTATAGAAAAGAAATTGAGTGAAGTGTCTGTTCTATTTATTTACTCGCTAGAAATGGAAAGCTTTTTTCAAACACGACGATTGTTGACTATTTCGTAATTATTTCATTGACTCTGGTAGCGTCCCGGCAGAACCGGCTCAGTTCAAATTTAATGAAAATTGAGTTGTTGCTGAACTCTAGCTGTTTAAGTATTTCTTGTTTGAGCCTGTTGTCTGGAAATGACGGAAATCTAACGTGACCGGCTGTGCCGGGACACCACTGACACATCTGATTCAAGTGAAAAGCAGATTATTTTTGACTTTGCTATCTAGAAAAGAAAAATAATTTGACTGGAAAGCAGCACGGATTTTTACGATAAAACCGTAAGCCTATTGTACGCGCAACGTTCCAAATTCTTAACAGCACCAGGAGGACAATGAAACACAGTGTTTAGGTCTTAGAAAGTACTTACTCGATTGGAAATTCTATAACAATTGAAAAGAACCTCTTGTTCGGCATTGCCATCGGTAAGCAAGTAAATACTTTGCTTCGTCGCGCGAAACTTGCCGTTTGCGCTCGCTTAACTTATTCGCGTGACATTAAAATTTAAATATTTCGGTGTGTCAGTCATTCCACAAAGGTAACATATCTTTCAGAGCAAACTTTCACCGAGTAGTGCCGTTCTTATTGATAAAGACAAAATGCGAACACCAACTGCCGAGATAAATCCATCGTGCACACAATCCATGTGTTTAAACTTTAAATGCGTGAACAGCGGCGCAAGGACACACGAAAACCAAGACATTATTACTCCAATAGGATGAGACTTCGCAATGATGATTTATTTGTATAACGAGCAATATCAACAAGCAAGCCAATAGAAAGGCGATTACAAATCGAATCAAATTGGTAATAAAGTTGCTATACCTGTACACATCGTCGATGAAAGAACAATGCGGATTAATGACTAACGGCTAGACTCCTTATCAAACGTTTATAAAAATCATCGTACAAAAAATCAATCGCTAAAAAAGAAAGACGAACACGTGGACAGTGCTAAGAAAGAAAAGCCCGTTGAAAAAGCACTGGCGCGTTACGTAACAGACTCGCATCGAGGACGCGCGCATTTACAAAAAGAAGAGAAAGAAAAAAGTCTCCTAAGGCCTACGACTAATTTTAAATTAAAAAAAACGAATTCTGCGCGCGAGAGACAGAGAGAGAGAGAGAGAGAGAGAGAGAGAGAGAGAGAGAGAGAGAGAGAGAGAGAAGTACGCGCTTTATGGGCTCAGCCACGAAATACTTTGGACGCGCAGATCGACATCGACGCCGATGACGACTGGACGACGACGACGACGACGACGACGACGACGACGACGACGACGACGACGACGACGACGACGACGAGTGGAAAAAGGCAATATCGGATTAAGAGGAAAGTGACAGAACAAAGATAGAGATTTACATGTATATAATACGTGTATATAGAGATAGAGAGAGAGAAAGAGAGAGAGAGGGAGAGAGAGAGAGTTATATTGAGACAGAGAAAAAAACGAGCGGGTATTCATTCTCGTGATCTCGCTATTTCAACGCTGTTGGGACTTGGACTTGCGCGAGTTTTCCCGAGAGTAGCAGTTCCAGTGGGTGCAGCCCTCAGGCTTGTGCTCGGGTCACCAGGCTTCAGTGTAGCGCACGTCGAATTCCTGCAGAGCCGGCAGATTCTTTTTCAGCGTCTCGAACGTGGAGGCCGACAGCTTTGTGCTGTTCAGGTTGAGCTTACGTAGGCTCGTTAAGGCTGCAAGAGCAAGAATAAACGTGAAAATTAAATGAAATGCCTTTCTCCACCTACTCGATCCAATTGTCAATCGTCGCACACAGACCAGTCGATAGTCTGGGGCAATGGGAGCAGCAAAGCAATACGTGCAAACATTACCACTTGTTGCGATTACCGCGATAACTACGCAAATTTCTGTCGTGGCTTCTTTCCTCGATTTGCAATTCTCAATTCGAAAGGCTTGAAAACGCCACTGGAGCTCTCGCCTAAACGTCTCGACCCCAACTCGACAACAGGCTTTCCTTCGTGCTCCCATTTTTCCCGCAAACATTCGATCAACTCACAGGTCAACGTGGAGATTCCCTTGTCGGAGACCGGAGTCTCGCAGAGATTGAGCACTTGGAGCTTCTGCAGATGCTCGCTGATGAGCTGGAGGCCGGTGTCGCCGAACTGAGTGGCCCAGAGATTGAGATACCTGAGGGCGGGTAGCTTGATGAGCTGCTCGGCGCACGCCGAGGTGACCGAGGTGAAGGCCAAGCTGAGGCACTCGAGGTTACCCAGAGCGGCGCCGCCACCCAGCAGCAGAGCCACGTCGGCGTCCGTCGCGCGCACTGGTAGCGTAAGCTTTCGCGGGCCTCCTTTTTGCTGCTGCAATGCATCGAGTTATTACGCGCGTTAGTGAAAGTGCGACATCCGAGGCGCAGCGGAGCTTTGCATTACCGAAGCGGCCGAAAGTATCGACCAATTGCGCCGAGAGTACATTTCCCGAGCTGGAAGGGCGGGTGCTCGGATTACCAGTCGAAATGAATTGGTCAGCCAACCAAAGTTGGCAAGTAGTGCGCGCAGATGCACGGATAGGAAGGAGGGGCGGGTGGAGTCGTCGATAGGGTCGCGCGCGAGTCGTGCTTGGCTCTTTGGCGAGCCACTCACCAGCTCCTGCAGGTTCCGCTGGCGCTGGCACAGGGCCTCGTAGCGCCTCTTGCCGGGCTCGCTGGACTGCAGCGCCGAGACGACCTGCAGCCGGGCCTCCTCGTTGGGCAGCAGGCGCCACTCGAGCATGAGACAGAGCGCCTCCTGCGCCGCGTCGCAGCCGCGCACGCCCAGCAGGACGCAAGCTCCGCCGGTCTGCTTGAGCAGCGAGCCGATGAAACGCTTTCTCCGGCAGCAGCAGGCCAGCAGCGTGGTCAGCTGGAACGAGCAGCAGGCGAGGTCAATCTCGCGAAAGCAAACCGGAAGCCCGATCGCCCGATCGCCCGAGCACAGCCAGCGATATCATTACCCCCGGAGAGAGAGCTTTGGTATTTTCAATCCGTGACAGCTGTCGTCTCGCCTGTGCATTGGATCGACAAGAGTCTCCCGTGGCTCGCCCGGCTTAACAGCTTTGACAACGTCTTCGCGCTCTCACGGACGGAACACTGGGGCATTTATCGCTTGTTCCATTAATTTATTTCACGCGTCGCCGAGCTTTGTCCCTCGAAGAGAGAGAGAGCGAGAGAGAGAGAGAGAGAGAGAGAGAGAGCAAGACGAAGCGACGCGCGATGATCGTTCTGTGGGAGGCAAGGCATCATAACGGCGCCGAGCTTATAAAGCGCCGGCGAACAGAGCCCGGGATGCGCGCGATAAATCAGCCCAACAGCACAAAGCCCAGATATAATCCGCGCGGCAAACGCTGTAAGCTCTTTTTTCTCGCGCGTGACGCCCGAGAGCATCCGTAACGTGCGCACGTCGAGGCTCTCTTGGCGCGCGCGGCCCGATCGGCTCGAGCGCGTGTTATTCCACGGCTATTTCTCGACGCCTTTGTGAGCGCGCGCGCGCGCGAGGCGCGAAATCGCCGCCCGAAACGTCGACGACGCACATCCGGCGCTTCGTATAATCCACCGAGAGGTTGTTGAACCGCTCGCTCGGATTCCTTTTTATCTTTCGCGATTTGCCGAGGCGCGTGCTCTCTCTCTCGCAGTCGCGCTTGACCGTTTGGCCTTCCGTTATCTCTTCTTTTCACGAGGGAACGCCCGAGAACATACGCCCGAGAACATCCAACCGATCGGTCTCTCGAAAGCCGCTTCCGATCGGCTTCGAAGGAAATATCGAATAACGAAAATAGCGCGAGCGTGAAAACTTACGTACCATCTCGCCGAAGAGCTGTCCCTCGTCGGGACAGGCGGGACTGGACGGCGCGGCGATGTGTATCCAGCCAGGCCTGGGCTCTCTGACCGGCAGCAGCACGCGGTGCACGCTGCACCTGGGGTCCTTGCCGAGTCGTCGCATCACGCACGAGAGCACCGACTCCTGGACTTCCTTGTTCGCCAGCGCGTCCTCCGGGAAGGGCACCGGCTGCAGCAGCGCGCCCAAACCGGGCCGCCAGTCAGCGTACTCCGACCTGCAGATTCGGAACGATGCAGGCGCGACGTGTACGAAATCGCCACTGCGCTACGTGCGCTCATTGCAATGCTAACGAGTGTGTTAAAGGAGAGCTAAGAGTGTAAGGAATGACATACATAATAGGCGAACGAGCCAGCGAATGAATAATGCAGTTTTCGTGCTGAAGCAATCGCCCGAGCGATACGCGGTTGGCTCTCGCGTGAAATTCAACGTCGGACTAAAAATACACGGCTAGTTGAGGGAAAGGTGTGTGTGTGTGTGTGTGTGTGTGTGTGTGTGTACGTACGCAACGCTCAGCACGAGAAGATAACATCCGAGGGGTGGCAGTGACGCGGATGGTGTTGGTGGCGTTGCAACCTCCTCCTCCAATTTAGTGCTGCTGGTGGGAGGTGCTGCAGGTGTTGCAACCTCCTCCTGCAGGTTAGTGCTACTGCTGCTCGTGCCATTGGCGTCGGCGGTGGCGGCTGCCGCGGCGGCGCTCACTTCGAATCTGGAACACGCAAACACGGCGCAAAGCCAATCGTAAAAACGCCGCTCGTCAATAAGGCGCCTGCTTTACCATTAGCCACGAGCCGTGCGCGCGATTCTCGCCGCTTTTCTATTTTCAAATTGGCCGCTTTCGTTGCCCCTCGCGAGCTCGCACGCGTCGCCCGATAGTTCGCGATTTCAGCGCCAGCAGGAGCAGCAACAGCAGTCGAACGCTCACTGCTGAACGACAGCAATACGAAGCTAATGGCATTGCAGCGAGACACGTTGCTGGAAAGAAATCCGTGGAAAGACACTCACCTGTAGAATATGGCAGCCACGCAAATGGCCACGAGATTCGGCAGGATTCGCGGGTGCGGACAGTCGCTGCCGGGACCGTGCACCGAGGCGATGTAGTCCCTGACGGCCTGCTCGCCGTCGACGTTCTCGTATAAAGCAGCGATGAATGCCTGGAGTAACTTGCGCATGTACGGCGACTTGCCAAAGTCGACCGTGTGCTTGAGGCAGCGGGTGATGGCCGGGGCCAGCGCTAGCACCAGCGGCGAGCGCGGGTGACGCTGCGCGAGCTTGGCCAGCGCCCGGGCCAGCGCGGCCGGTGGCGCCGCGCGTTCCAGCAGCGGCGCCGCCACGTTCAGCACCGCCTCGGCCCAGCTGCGCCCCGAGTTCGCCGAGTTCGCCGAGTTCGCCGAGTTCGCCGAGTTGAGCGACTCCTCGTCCCTCGGGGGGCCGCCGAGGTCGTTCTCGCTCGCCGCCAGCTCCGAGATGATCAGCGGGCCGCTCGGCTCGTCGCTCCTCTCGTACGGGCTCGGCTCCTCCAGCAGCTTCGCCACCACCTCCAGTGGCGCGCCCGTCACTCGCTCGTCCTGCGGTTCCGTCGTCGCTCTTAGCCGTTAGCCGCCGCAGATCGAACGCAGACGATCACCAGCCGGCTTCCGCGAACAATACTCCACTTTCGTTCGAGCAAAGCGAAATAAACGAATAACGATGACTTGACCGGCTTCCAAGAATACACGACGGAGCACCTGATTTTCCGCGCGTAAAAATTACTTTTTTATGAAAGCGCGACTTCTCTTTGTTTCCCAACTCTCGGCTCCCGTTTTTACTTGGCCGCGATGCGCGGATAAATACAAAGAAAACTGTTTTTCATTTGCATCCGCGGGCACGCGACGATTGTTGAGAAAGTTAAATATACGCCATCCTCCCACGCACGCGAACATAACGAATAGGCAGGCACGCGCACACGTGCAAGGTGGAAGGAAAACCCATGTTCGACGCGGCGGTGCTTTCGTTGCCATTCGATGAATCGACTACGTTATGTGCTTGCCAGCGCTGGCCTCGTGGTAATCGAACGCAACGCAAGCTTCGCCGTCGCGGTAGCGAGGATCCTGTGGGTGTGGCGCCCCCTTTTAAAATTGGAAGCCTCGCGCAACTGTCGCCGCGAGTGCGTCATACCTGCAGCGGTGTCCACAGGGCAAAGTCGACCAGGGCTTTCAACTCTCTCAATACGACCTCCTCCTTGGTCGCGTTCGACACCTGGTGCTGGTACTTGAAGATGCTTTTCTGTAACGAAACAGCGGACGTCGGCCTCAGGGACAGTAAAAGAGAGATAGAGAGAGAGAGAGAGAGAGAGAGAGAGAGAGAGAGAGAGACAAAAGGACGGGGGATGTTGGGATTACGCCGCGACCTCGGCAGCGTGCACCTGCTCTCGTAGGTCGCGAGATGTCGCATATCTTGCTGCTGTGGTTGTCGACTAAAGATAGACGAACAATTTCGGCGGTCGCATCGCTTTCTCCCGACTGTTTCTCTTCCGCGCGCGCACCCCTCCCGCTATTTCCATGGAAATCGACTCGCGACCCCTTCAACGTTGCACGGCTAATTTGGAGCTTGCAACGTGTGGCGTAGGCTCGCCGAAGAAATATCACCGGAGATAACAATTGATGCGTATGGAAGGGGCGAGCGACTAGTCAATTTGCTCGCGCTAGCGCGTTTTCCCTCCGTCGTCGATTTAACTTGGTAATGAGTCTGCATCGGAAATTTCAACCTAAAATCAACGCGAATTTCGAGCGAGAGCGTGCACGCGTGCGCTCGGTGGCGCGGCGGCGGCGACGGCTGCAGCACTGATACACGTCAAAGCTATACAAGCATAAATTTTCCTCGACACGCCAGTGACGTTGTACAATACTGCGCGGCATTGCAGCGAGCGAGTGATTAATTTCGGGCTCGGACGAGAGCGAGCGAGGCAGAGACTTCGATTATGAACTTCTTTATTCCGGGACACGTTCGCCCTCGCCGCCGCCATCGCCGCTGTCACACCCTCGCCCGCTCTAATTTCATTGGCGACGAGTCGATTAATTTTTCGACTGAAATAACAAAAAAGCCCCGGATCGCCGCTGATACGATGCTTCATTTTTTTTAACTGTTGCTTCGAAGAGAAAAACAAGCTGAACCACGATATCGCCGCGGACATTCGTACTTAAATTAAATGACGTCCATGTTAGTTTTGAATTAAGATCTATTTTTCTGCCTCTCATATGAAAGCACTCGGCTAAAGTGTACGTGCGGGTAAAAGAAATAATGTAAATGGAAGTGGAGTTATTCTCACCTTCCACAGAATAGAGTGATACCACTGGTCGCGCGTATAAGCGTTGCTGGCTTGGAGTAACAACGATCCGTCAGGTAGGACGATTCTTAGGCAGTATTTGTAGGTCGGGTCCCATCTGGCTACCGCGTAAACTTCCGTCATGCTGCTGTATGGCACCGGCTGCTGCAGGAACCCAGTCAGCTGTAACGAAAGATAGCCTTAGGATTACCAAGGTCACCGACTTGGCAGCTCTATTTTCGGCTAAACGATAAAAGAGTTACTTTATTCGAGCTTCGCCGACGTCAGTCGCCGAGTCAATTACCGTGCCCGCTCGCGAGAGCAACGCATCATTTTTTCGGGAAAGAAAAAAAGAAAACGACGAAAACGAACGAAGCAAAAGAAGTCGTCGTCTGCACTCGGAATTGGATAGGAGCGAATTGGCTACTAGGAAACAATCAGCGAAAGGTTCCGCTCAGGATGAAGCGAGAGAAAGAGAAGAATCAGGTCGCTGATAGGTTTGGCTCGGCACCGAAATGTTGTCTTTGGCAGGGGGCCCAGAGCGGCTACTTCGGCGGCTCGTTGTGTGCGTGCGTGTACTATTGGTGCACCCGCATGTTTTGCGCCAGATTTGATCGGCAAGTCGCACGATTGCCTTGTTCGCGTAGCGACCACCGTGCAATTCACGATTAATTGCTTCGCTAATGATTTTAACGCGATAAGCCCCCCCCCCCCCTCCAAATACGTATGATTCTTCCGTTATTTATAATCGCTGCTTGTAAGTCGAATCGTTTTAACACACGTGTACGATTTGATTTCAATCTCGATCAGTTTTTTCCGCTTAATTTTTCAATTGCTTCAAAGGGTTTCGATTTGTCGCGCGCAAGTCAGTTTATTCTTATCGATGTATTTGTATTTTAGAAAAAAAACATTTCCCGATTGCACAACAGACGAGCATTGGATCTCCCATTATTCATCGTACAAACAAAATCCCGTCCTCGCAGTACAGCAGTACACGCGGAGACGTACGGGCGAAGATCCCTCAAAGCCGAATTTGCGGTAATACCCTGACAGGTGGGAGGTGCGCGTGGCGATCAGCCCGCAATAAGCTTTTCGATCGCGCTGCGTTCGGCTCTCGGATGATAACGAGCGGTCTGATCGCCGTTGCGGAAAATTACCGCGTGCTTCTCCGTGACACGCCGGATCGCGAGTTCGCTGCGCGCCTAGCCAACACCAATTCTCACGAGGGACTGCGTCGACGTTCGAGTGCGTCGTTAATCTCGCCGATACGCCAGCCTTCGCAGACGCACTCGAACGGCCGCGACAAGAGCGACACGGACCACGAACGGCGAAGAATAGACGAGCGGGCCAAACGAAACGGTCTCGCGTCCGCGTCCGCGTCCGAGAGTGAAAATATTGGCTCTGTGCACGAGAGCGCGGCTCGTTAATAGGGCGGACGGGAGCAAGGATCCGATGGGAAAAGTGTATTTCGAAGGCGCATTACGATTCAGCTGGAATTGGACAAGGTTAAGCAAGGTGAGAGCAGGCGGATGGGGGCACGGCTCGCGAGCTCGCGTGCTCGAGGCCTGTATATTTGGACTCGGCGTTCGTTATGTATGCGCTTTCGGCCGCTATCCGACCAGCCGTACGTCTACGCTCCCCTTGACTTTTCCACGAGCCGCAGCGGCTGTTCCCGCTCGTCGTAGTTGCGATTCGCCGAGAGACGGAAGCAGCGAGCACGCGCGTCCTTCGGACGTAGAGGCGCAGGTGCGCCGGCAGGAAAAGAGGCGAGAGCGGGCGACAGGTGCGTCTGCGATTGACAATCGCGGAGCAGGAGCGAGTTCGTATTCCGTTTACGCAACGACTCGCGGCTGACCCACTTACCTCGCGAGCACGCGATGCGCGTCACGCTCGCTCCGCCCGTGGACTTTCTTCCTTCGATCGATCAAATTTGAATCCGCGCTCGACTGCCCCCCACCCGGCCCGCGCCGCTCGCTCGCTCGCGCGTTATCGGCCGGCCCGACAGATGTGAGCCGCAGAGCGCGAAACACATGTAGACTGGCGGATTTATCCACGCGCCTGCCCGGATAAAACGGCTGACCTTAAAAATCTTCCGATGCTCAATTTTTCACGTCAATTTCGCGCTGACTCATTGTTGTTCTTGTTGTTGTTGTTGTTGTTGTTGTTGTTGTTGTTGTTGTGGTCGTCGTTGTCGTCGTCGTCGTCGTCGACGTCGTCGTCGTCGTCGTCGTCGTCGTCGTCGTCGTCGTCGTCGTCGTCGTCGTCGTCGTCGTCGTTTTTTAATTGGAATACGCGGTATCGTGTCGAAAGTTCTGCGTACTCTTATTTTCTTATCTACGAGCGCGCGACGATGAGCTCAGAACAGCGAATCCAACAGCGGTTCAAAGTTCAGCAATGTACGCACGAGTGGGGCCGAAGACCGAAGGACTACGTCATCGAGCACGCGGAATCCCGGTCATGTCGCAGATTGATTCAAGAATCAAGCTCGGGAGGATTGACGGAATGTGAGATCCGGCGAATTTTCGATGACGCCTAACTGGCGCACGTTAATTCGCTGCCACGGCGGGAGTAGCAGCTACGCGTCTCACGGAAGGCTTATGCTCGCCGATATCGCTCGGACAAATATCACCGAACTTATTTCTTCGTTCTCTTTGAAAAATGTCGATCACGCTCGCGCTCGCTCGCATTTGCCTACCGTGTGCAGTCGCCAGTCAGGTGCAGCGGCGCAGCCGAGCGAGAGAGAGAGAAATTCATAATCTTGTTATGAAAACTTGCGGAAGCTTATTTGCTCGACGAAATGCCAGATTAGACAATGACTGTACACAGCTCGCGCAGCGTTGTGCTCGATTGTTATCACCGTGCGAGAAGTGGCATTTTCGCGTTCAGCGTTCAGCCGAATGACGTTTATTCAGCCCGCGTCGCGCCGAGCGAAATCAATTACGCGGCGACGCCGCTGCAGCGAGTCTAGCATAATTGACGAACTTTAGCCTCTCTCGACGACCAAAAGATCGTTGCGCGAACGCGAGAAAATAGCAACGACGTGGCTGCGATTCGCTTCCAATTATCGCTACTGCGACAGTCGAGTCGTCGCTCGCTGCATTCGTAATGTTCAGTCGAGCGTGAGTAACGGCCTCGCGCAGCCAACTCTTCCCAGGCAGTCAACGAACACGCGCCACTCTCTTTCTCTCTCTCGTGTACGCGTACGCAGACGTCAGCTGTTGTCCGACGTGATCGGCGAGTAAGACGGCGGATCCCCGCGGTTATGCCTCGAGCGCGTCGAGAGACTGCGCTATTTTCAGCCCCGCGAAAAAGTTGCGACGAGCAAGCGAGACGGGTTGGGTTGGGTTCGGGTTGGGGCCGACGAGGCTCGATCGATCGATTGGCGCGAATCGAATCGTCGTGCTTTTTCCTCGTCGGCCCCACCTGCGCAAGCGGGCTCCATTCACGAAATTTCGGTGCAGCACTTCCCTCGCCAGCAGTTTCATTCAGCTCGCCTGCGCACGTCCCTCTCCCCCTCGCATGCCGCCGACGCATTTAGCCGCCGCCGCCGCCGCCGCCGCCGCCGCCGCCGCCGCCGCCGCCGCCACTGCCGCTTGCCAAGTGCCACGCGAATCTCACATTTTCATTCACGAGAAAATTGATGCGAAAATGCGCGCTGGGAGTGCCCTGATTATCCCGAAAGGATATTAATGTTATTTAATGAACTGGATCGCGCTCGGGATCGACTATCAAAGCGCCGTTCGTCGCATCTTTAGGCACAACGCGCTTGCTCGCCAAATCTAAATCGAGTCCAGGCGAGCGCGAAGGATAAAGCGGAAGATAGACAGGTAAGCTAAAATCAAACGAGAGCTCTGCCGAGCTTCGTGCAGTCGCGTTAAGAGTGTAGGCTAAGGTCCGCTTGCTCTACATACTGGCGGACTTTTGTGTACGTAAGCTACACGAGCAACAAGGACACGCATAGTGCAAGAACCTACGTAAGAAAAGTATGTGTGTGTGTGTGTGTATGTGGGCGGGTAGTCGGTGCACAGCAGCAAAGTCGGCCGCTATACAAATTAATATTAATTAGGTAGAGCACGGAGAAAGAGCGCGCCGAGTTTTGGCGTTTGAGGTCATAGGCGCGTCACTGCGCCGGCGCAGGCCGCGTTCTTGTTCGTGCACGTAGCATCGAGCAGCAGCAGCAGCAGCAGCAGCAGCAGCAGCAGCAGCATCGAATGACGTCAGCAGCAGCAGCAGCAGCAGCAAAAGCAGCGGGGTGAAAATCTAGGCCGAGGGTTGAACGACTGCTGGAGCAGTCTCCGAGCTGGAAACTAGGTCAACGAGCGAGCGAGCGAGCGAGCGGCGGAGAGAAAGAGAGAGAACGCTGCATCCCTTGAATGAACGCGGCCGAAAGCCCCACCAGCCCACCGACCTTTCTCTCGCTCGCGTCTTCTGCTTTCGATTTTTTTTTCCGATCTCCGCTTCGGGTTGTCCCGAAAAACAGCAGGAAGAACATCGGAACGAGGTGGCGTTTAGCGTACGCAATGCGAGCAAATCTGGGTCAGAGAACGTCGAGTGAGACAGAGAAAGAGAGGAAGAAAGGTCACACCGCACGCTGTACAACAGATCGACCGGCTATATAAGTTTAGATTAAAAAACTTTATGGCTCGCGCGCTTATTGTTGCGATTCTTCAAAAGCTCTCTCTTTCGCTCTTGCACCGAGTGCAATTGCTTGGCTCCCCACTCGTAGCCAGCTGCGGCCACGCTGGCGAGCTTTTGCCATGCGACGCATCGGCGGTACATCGTAGACGAAAAATCTCTGGTCGACCGAAACGCTTCCGGATCCGCTTCCCTCTCGCACCGTAGATCACAATGGATCCAGAGTGACGTAACCGTAGGTCGACGTATCGAATCGAGCCAAGCGCGCTCGTTTCGTCGTGCCGGACTCCTCTGCGCTGTCTATCGAGAAAACTGGTTGCGGCTGATCTCGTAGTCTTTCGACGGCGCTGCTCGAGGTGCAAAAGTGCAGCTCGCGATTAATTCAATGCCGACGACTTTGAAGATCGTTGGTCGAGCGTCGCTCGCTAAGAGAGCTTATCAACGAACTGGCGCAAGAGCGAGTACGTGGAAGACCCCCCATTCCTCGATCGCGCGCACACGTGGGCGATCGCTCGTTTCGCTGAATATTCAAAGTCATTCATGCGCTG